AATACAAGAAAAAAAAAGAACAAAAAGAAAAGGGAAAGTATGGTTATTTACCTCAGCAGTTTTCGGTACACTTTCAGAAAACTTCGATTTTAATATCGCCTAGGCTGGTGTGTAAAGTTACTGACATTATATGATGATGATTTTTGATCCTTTGAGAGATCAATGAATGAATATCTTTTCTTGGTTGGATTGTAGTTTTGATAAATGCAAACGTAAATGTGAATATATGGTATGGTTTGGTATGGTCTGGTATGATGTGGTAGCTGAGTGGAAGGCTGAGACTGAGACTCAGATGAGATGCTTTAATTTTTATATTGGAGCGAGATGTGTAAGGCTGGGAGAGTGGGAGGCTATTTATTGGGCAAGGCTGATATTTTGGCTTGATGTAAGGCTACCATGTAAGAGTTGTCATTGGGCGAGGTGGATGGATGGGATTATGTAAGGGCCAATTTCTTGTGGATCGGATCTTCAAAGCTTGTTGTGTTTTGAGTGATGGCAATTTGAGGGAGATGATTATCATTTCTATCATTTCTATCATTTCTATCGCTTTCATCTAGAACTATTATTTATCATTGATTTTCTTATATATATATATGAATATAAAAGATATATATCTTTATTAAATAAAAAAATCAAACATTCTTGGTCTTTTCACCGATTACTATCTATACTGACATACATGCATTGAAACCCTTTTCATTGTTGCTAAGTCTTATTTCAACCTGATTTTTGTTGTTGGATTTCATTATCTGTAGATAGATGTCTCGTCGGTTTGTATTATCGAAAGTCTGGAAAGGCTGGATCAGATGTCTGGACCACCAATCAGACGAAAGCATCATACCGTATCATCATATTTATTTCAAGGCTTATTATCTATCTACCCAGTCCAGTAACCCAGTTACCCAGCTACCCAGCTACCCAGCTACCCAGCAAGCAACCTACCCACGCTTCATAACCACCCACCTACTCCGTATAATCTACAATCACAACCACATCCATGAAAAGAACAACCGCGTTCAATTGTTACTGAGTAATTTCATTTCTGAGTTAATTAGCTATTCCTTTCAATAAAATATCTAATCCCTAACAATGACATATCATAATTTCTAGAAATTTCTTCCTTCACTCATTATTCCCATTATTCATCAAAAAACATCATCGCTCTTCTTTCTCTTCCACACACACACTCGCTCTCCCTCTATTACTTCTCCAACCTGCATCGAAAAACAATAACAAATCAACTTTCCACCAATTCCACCACAGAACCAAGGAAATCCAGTCCTTCCTTACTCGATAATATACTAAACGAACTTTACAAACAAACTACGTCTCTCTAGTACAGAATACTCTTACTGACACACAAGAACCATCCAAATGAAAGCTTAGCCTTGCTTATATGTCGACACCAAAAGTTATATCATCGACACGCAACCCCACAATTCGCGCAAACTGACTTACCGCATACATACAAACATACATACATACATTTACATATGAGACTCGAACTTTCAATCTCAACTCACACTGCTCAACAACATTGTTTCCATTCGGCGCAAACCTGCGCGGTGGCGCCAGTGATCTTTGGGTGTGCACGATATGTCTGCCTTTGTCCGAGTTTCCGGTCCTCCCAACAGTAATTTTTTAGTTGGATATCCGGGTATTTCTGCTACGCTTGTAGGTGATTTTTATTTTCTCTTTGGGGTTTGATCATCTGTTTTGCGATTGTGAGTTCCATGAGGATTTGGGATTAATTCGGGGATTATAGCCTAGGGTAGAGGGTAAAGTAGAGATTCGACCCCTCACTGGAATTTCTGCGCCGATAGCGATATCATTGGTCCGAATATGTTTACAGCGAAGGGAAACGATACATCCATCCGCGGAATCGATAGCTAAGAAACATTTGGGGACACCTCGAAGAGAAACGACCGATGTGGTTGGGAAGGAGTTGCTCTTGTTTCGATGTACAGCAGGCAAGGAAAGCGAAAGTGTGGTTTTGATGGATCTACCTTTCGTTTTATTCATACCATTTGGAAGAGGAGGACAGGAATCAAATCGAAGGATCCCACCGGCCAGTCTGCAATTACCTAGTCGCACAGCGGAAACTTATTATGAATTGGTGGTTACCGTTCAACAGGGCCAAGAACAAAAAAAATTCGCATTTCCAGTTCCGTTGCAAAGATATGACACTATTTCAACATTTGGCATGTACAAGAAGCCGGAATCAGCAGAGAATAATTCGGATCATCTTGTTACTTTGAGAATTTCACTACCTCGGTGGTCATTTGGTCCCTCGGATCCTGTTGATGTTTTTATCACATTATTACCCAATCCTATATGGTTAAAAAAGGCTACCAAAGTAGTCATACAAAAGATTACAATTGGGATAGAAGAAGAAATCACATATAATCCTGAAGGTGATGAACCTACGAAGAAGATCAATCGGATAGCAAAACAAACTGCGACGGTGGGAACGAGATTACCAGAGGCGGGATACTTCACAGCCCTTGGTTTAATATATCCATCGAAGGATTTAAGGGATTCGGAGGGAATAATTAGGAGAGGAAAGGCGGCTTTTCCAATGCATTTTGTTAATTCTTTTACGACGACAGCAACTCTATATAAGATTGAATTCTTTCTTGTTATAAAGGTATATATGTTTCTTCTTTTTATTTCTTGCTTGCGAACTTTACCAATACTCCTTTTCACTGATTCTATTCACATTCTTAAAGCAGAGCTGACATAGCCTAAAGGTTCATCTATCCGGCGCTCGAGATATCACTCATCGTCAACCAATAATAGTATGTCCTTTAAATGGAAAAGAATGCGAAGAGGAGATGGGAGCAATCGAACAAGCGGCAAGAGATGCATCACGTATCGATCCTGTGAACCCAATGTTACCTGCTTGTACGATTATTAAGGCGAGGGATGCAAGTGCTTTAAGAGCACTAGGGTGGACAATGGTTGGAGGTTCGAGAAAAATGGTTATTGAATGAAAGGGTGTCGGATGAATGAAAATATGAATTCCCAAGAAGATTTTATTGGGTGATCACGAGGTTGGAGTGATTTGGATTGAGAGGGTCCTTGATTCGACTCAAAAGTGATGCCGCGGGATAGTTGGACCGAGGATTACTATGAGGGGAGAACAAATACGATAACTCGCGAAATCGATCGATGAAAGCGAAATTCGAAACGATGTCCTCGCCATACATATCACGATAGGATGGAACATAGCGACAATGTTCATGAAAGACGATTAATATCACATCACGATACCTCGTATGAGCAAGGAGAGTAATGTTACAGATTAATGATTGAAAGTGGATTGACATGAAATTTTACCTCGAGCGTATATGCTCGTTTGGGTAGATGGTAGGGAAGCAAGTAGCAATGGAATGGAATATAAACCAGGAGAGAAACGAACATGAATATGAGATTAGTTTGAAAGAATGAAAGGAAGGAAAAGGATGGAATTGATTGAGTCGAATTGGGGTTGATTATAGGTACATGATATTGAATGAATTTCAAGGCATAACGATTTGTTGCATTTTCTGGTAGTTGGGTTGGGATTTAAGGGCGGTTAGAGGTTGAGTTTGGCATGGTTTGGAAGTTTTATTTGGATGAGGAGTTTGGGGATTAGGTTTGGATGTGGAGTTGGATGGAAGTTGCATGTGGAGCTGGATTGGAGTTGGATGAGGAGTTGGATGGGGAGTTGGATAGGGAAATCCATTGGGTTGGGTTGGATTTATTTTATATGATATGATATGAAATAATGTGATTCGGAGGATGAGTGATTAGATATGATTAATAGCACTGATGTTAATATTAAAAAGATTTCTACATGAGATAATGAGGTAATGAGTGCTAGAATAATAATGATAGGGAATAATATAATTTTAAATTTATAAAAAATATTATATACTTCAACTTCAAATATATAAAAAAAATATAACCTTAAACAATATATTAATTATAATATCTAAAAGAATATTTTTATAAATTTTTATTTCTCTCAGTATCTGTAATATATATATCTCCTTTCCATCCTTCCCTTAATGTATAAATCCAAGTATCCAAGCATCCAAGCATCCAATCTGTTCCGGTATCGTTACTGTCGATATTATATTCCTACCTATCCATGTACATGACTTAATATCTTTCCTTATTCAACAGTTCAACAAGCCAACCCTTCATGTGTTCGTCCGATCATATATTCACCCAAGTATAAATCGTAAAGCTTTCCTCCCCTTTGATCTCTGATCTGAGTTGGGTTGTCTCCGCGCCAATCTGAGGTGGTTTGAAATGAGAGACGAGATGAAATGAGATGTAAAGAGAGATGAGAAAGAAAATCACTCCTTTCCCCCAAACCTAAATGCTAATCGCTAAATGAGGTAGAAAGAAAGCAAAAAAGAAAAGAAAAAAAAAGAGTGAAGTGAAGTGAAGCAAGTAAAGCCATGCCTAAGATGTAAGATATTTCACCCAGAAGAAGAATAGAAGTTTGTAGTAAGTAGACACCATCTGACAGCCTACCACAAAGCCACGCAACAAAAAAGCTCAAGATGAGAAAATCTCAACTTAAACCTCAAGTAAAAGCGGATGATGACCCATCTTCTTTCCCTCCTTCTCCTTTCCCTTATGACTACTACTCTTTTCCGTCTTGCTTCTAAAAATACTCAGAGGAGTCTTCTTTTTCTTTTCTTTGGATTCTTTTTCTTCTTTTTCTACTCGTTCTGTTCTTTCCCCTCGTCCTGAAGCCGTCGATGCATTCTCATCATCCTTCTTTGAGTGACTTGACCTATGACTCTTAGAAGTCTTGCTTGACTTGGAGGTCTTCTCACGAGAAGTACGGGTAGATTCCAAATCATCCTTCCCTTTAGCAGGCGAAGGTTCAAATTGAGACCCACTACTTCTGACAGGAAGAGTTTTTGATCGTCGAGGTTTACTAGTGAAGCGACTCAAGATCCCTCTCGATTCCTCATCATCCTCATCAATTCTCTCCTCAGCAGCTCGCTGACGAATTCGCTCTGCATTTCGACTTTCCTTCTGTCGTGCAGCTGTAGGTGTAATGTATTCACCATCAACACTTGTACCTACACTTTCCACTTCTGCATCCACGATCCCTCGACGCCAGATATCAATACTGCTTAATTCCTTCTCGTACGCTTCACATGGCAGCGCTTCTTCGTATTCGTGTTGCATATCTTTGGGTTCCATGAATCCGGGTGTTTCGGGGTAGCCGGGAGTAGCGGGTAAAGCTTGCATGGCCATTGGAGCTTCCAATGTCTTTTCGGGAGTGGCTTGGAGCTTCTTGATGATTTTGTAGCCGTTGAACATTACGATTGTAACACCTAGGGCCACACCTCCGGCGATGAGGAATTGGGGAGAGGCGAGGAGGGCGAAAATAGCTGGAGAACTGGCTTTGAGCATGGGAAGTATGGAGGGAGACATTTTGGTTAGAAGTGCAGAAAGTTCTGCGAGGGTCAGGGCTACGGCAGCCATGGCTTCGGGGTTGGCTTGCAAATTTGACATTATGCCTGTAGCAGTGTGATGAAGACATTGCGCTTCGATGAGAAGACTGTCTAGTTTACTCATTGTTTCATCGAGTTCTGCTGGGAGTTGTTGTGGAACGAGGGGTTGTTCATATTCGGGTTCATGGTCAGATTCTAGATGAGGGGGTAGATCTCCATACGCTAAATCCATGTCGATTCCGTCGTCTTGAAGATCCGGTACGGTTTTCGGATGAGGGACTAATTGGCCACCCTGACAGGATGGAGGAGCTGTTTCTCTTCTCACGAGATGGCCTGGCATAGGAGGAGTTTGCATGTCCGTATTTCTTCTCACTAGAGTCATTTCCGTCCCGGCAAATGGTTGTTTATACGTGGCGAGAGGAGGATCATAAAGGCTCTCTTCTGGATCTTCGTGGTGAGTTTCTGCGGACTCGTGTTGGGTGGGAGCTTTAGAACCATGAACGGAGTGACTTCGTTTCGATCGATGAGAACGATGTGACCGTTTACTCGCTAGACTTTGCATGTCATCCTCCTCTTCCAAATCATCGAAATTCAACTCGTGACGAGTTCTGGTATGCGAACGATGGGAACGGTGAGAACGGTGGGAGCGTCCACTAGCCATGCTTTGCGAATCTGGAAATTCCTCATGATTGTTGAGTGCGAGAGGAGGACGAGAATTTGATCGGGGCTCTTGACGGGAAGAATGTGAACGATGGGATCGATGAGATCGTCTAGATGCTACCGATTGTGCATCGTCTCCTCCCTCTCCAACATCTTCAATTACATACTGAGATTCGTATGCTCTTCTTCGTGCTCTCTGTACTCGCTCTTCTTCTCGTTGATAGTGTTCTTCTCTTAATTGTGTCTTCTTCTCTTGGTATGCGGCTTTTGCATCTTTGAAGATGTTTACCAGTTGTTTTCCCTATGAAAGGTGGTTATTAGTCACAGCACATCCTGTATGATCCAATATCATCCGATGGAGGGGAAGCAGGTAGAACTTCGGAAAAATCGTAGAAATACTTACAGTGCTCACTACTTTCCCGGATTTATTGATAATGGTAACGGTTTCCGCCATGGGAGCCATTTTAACGTATAATTTGATTATTGTAATGAAGGATATTGCGTGAGAAGACCAGCTTCCGTTTCCCGATATTCTGTATTTATGAAGGTTTATAAAAAGAAGTGAAAACTTTTGGCTTGTGAAAGGATAAAAGTAGATGGATACTCTGAGCTACTCCTTACCGCCAAAAAATGCGGTGAAGAGCTGATGGCGGGGAATTTAAGTGGGAATTGCTTGAAAAACGCAGGAGTGAGTCCGCAAAGTGGAATGAATGCAAAAGGACGCAGGTCAACTGAATCTCGGGAAGTGAGGGATTTTCCCAGTTTATGTATGAATTGTGAATAATACTATAGAGTACGGACGTAAAGATGCAGGAGGTGGAGATGGGTTCACGTCTTCATAATTATGGATGGGAGTACATATGTACACGATGAGAGATGGGATGATCGGATATCACAGCTTGGAAAGAGGAGATGCGTCGGACAACCGAACCGATTGACATATATTTGAGTTCCTCTACAAGGGAGTAGAAGAGTTGGTGTGCAGGTTTTGGTGGTACCGTGGTTAAATAGCCAGGGGAGGGAAATCTCCTGTCAATCAATGAGGCGAGAGAGTAAACTCCGTATCTCGAGTTTACCCCTTCATTGGATCACAACTGCCATTTTCTCCACTAATACTCACATCATTGGACTCGAATCAACCAAACACAAATCCCCCTTCTCAGAGACAAGAAGCTGGACCTATTTATATGGGAAGAATGGATGCCATCCAATAGGGTATCCTTCCCTAAAGCATCCTCATGCATTAGAGTGGAAATCAACATCTCCATCATGCCTCGTGTCGTCAAACTTTTGGTCAAGATTTGTTAGGCTTACATGCATCTAACCAAAACTTTTCCTTGAAAATGATAACCTAGGTATGGCTTTCTAGCTGTGCTATTACATTTTCTAGGAGTTTCACCACTCGATTGGTTTTTATGGATTCCGAAGCATGCGAGGTCAAAATTCAAGCATTTTCTCGGTTTTACCGCTACCAAACATCAAAAATCAACAATGCTGTTTCACTTCCACGCAGGTCGAATTTTGGAGATGGTCATCAATAGTAGGATATGCAAAAGGGAGGAGTTATAGGAGTTTTAGTCCAGTGATTGACATGACAGTATGTCGCTGTACCTACGGAGAGATACATATGGAACCTATGAACAACATGAGATGGATCAAATCCCATCAAGTTGGTAAGATAAGATGGGCGGATATGGACGGATATGGACTGATAAGAAGATTCAAATTAACTTCTCCACGTTTCTTTGAAACAGAAATGTCGTGGCACCAGCTGGCTTATTTGTGGCTGTGTTTTTTATGGGAGGCTGTGGCTGGATGGATAAAACAGAATGGTGATTTGTCGCTGCTGTTGTTGTTGTTGTTGTTTGTTTGCTTCTTGATTTGAGTTTATTTTTGGCGTTGAGTTGCTGGACATCGGCATTTGCTGCTAGTTTATTGATCATATTGACTTATTGATGTATTGATCGATTCGCAATGAATCGATGGCTTTGTGGCTTTGCGGTTCGAAATTGGCAACTACTCCGTATTTACTTTTTGTGATTGGGTTGCATGTAAGTCTGATAGAAGTTTCCAGATGGATTTTACGAATAAGAGAATACAATGCAAGTGTATCATATACATTCCTTGATATAGTTCTTGTGTTGGAATAGTAGTTCTACCATTTGCGCTGGCGGAAATCCTATTGGTATGTTCTGATATGTTGTTTTTGTTCATGAGCTTACCATGTTTACTATTTTGTATCCTAATCTAGAAAACTCACACATCCTCTTGCAGTTCTATAATTCAAGGCCGCACTCATACATGGAGGACATGGCAATGTAATAACTTCATCGTTTGTAGTAGAAGCGATGTTTTTTTAATTCTGTATTGCAGTTATCCTTTGACTTCATTGGTCAGGTAATGATGGAAGGGAAAAGTCACAAAGGGTCGCAAGGCTTTCTTAATATTTGCTTCTCTCGCGACTGGTGAAAATCTGAATCAGTTCTCCAACCTTCTCATCAATCATTCGAACCATCTTCATCCACCTACCGAAAACGTTCGATTTCTTCATCCTCACCAAACCCCGAGGCCAAAGAAAAACACAGCTAAAAGTATGGAAAGGACTTCTTTTCTCTCGAATGCGTCGTAATACCAAGGATTTCGTGTTGGAATTAAGTGATGACGAATGTGCAGATGGAAGATTAATGTTTAGGAAGGTTAGAGAGCTTTTTATGGAGGCGGAGAATACACAAATTAGTATGCTCGTATTTTCTACGCCGTGAACTATTATTGTTTATGTTCCGCGAAGGGGTATCGGTTCTTTGATGTTTATGTATTCATTGTCACTTGGACAGCCTTTATACCAAATCAGATTTCTCCGTGGTATGGCAACTGCTTTGACGACTGCTTTATCGGGGTTGCCCGAGAAGCTTGGTTCTAAAGTGCGGTGTTTTCAAAAGCCCGGACTAGCGAAGTAGAAGTTCACTTGGAAGCCTTAAATGTTTGAAAGCCTTGAATATTTCAACATGTGAAGCTATGGATTTTGAAAAGTCAGATTTCGTAAAGCTGCCAGGACCGAAACTTATTCCCCCCTTCAGATCCTCATCATGGGCGCCGTAGTCAACCATTCGTGATCCCAGCCCAAGTTCTTTCACCCAGTTCACGAAATCAATGCCATACCAGAAGTACGTCCCATACCACACTCCAATGTCCCAATTTAGCCCCGACAATCAAACGCTTTTCCACCCTCCTGCTTCCAATTCTCCGCCCCACTTCGCACCTTTCCTCTCCTCATCCCTCCCTTTCGTCTTCCCTAGCGAGGCTTTGCTAAATTAGTAGGCATCTACACAAGGAGTCAGGCCTCTCACCTATCCCAAATGACATGCTGGGCACTTGACGTTGATCTGCGCTCCCTGAACGATGTAGTGGGGCGCTGGGCTTCTGCAGAGAATAGCTCTCCGGCTGCCCCAGTTGTGGCGCCGCAAACGTGCTTAATCTTATCGTATTCGTGGGAACAATAACTAGAGTAATAATGGTACCAACCGCAGGAACAATGATTAGGGTTGGTACGGCCATTTACCAGCGCTTGGGCACGTCAAATCCCATCTCATTCGGGGGTATTTGTTCTGGTAATTCAGCCATTGATTTGGGCGAATCGTAGTTATGCGGTTATTTCTGATCAACGATATGTGATATGTAATAGTGTTCCAAGGCCTTTAGACTGATGTTATGATGATCGATCAAGGAAATTTCTGTCGCACTCGCACTACTTATAGCAGTCCATGACAGGCAAACATCTTGGGTGTCTTTCCGCTCAAAGGCGTGTGTTTTGAAGTAAGATCTCAACTGAGTACATGTATCAGTATGCGGCATATCATATTCTTTATGTGTCAATAAATAGACTTAGAAAGTTGAGATAGTCGATGCAACTCTGTTCTTCCCTTAACTTCCTGATTGATCGATATGTCTTGAAGTAAGATCTTAACTGAGTACTGTTTATATGTTAATGGATAAACTCAGGAAATTGAGACAATCGATGCAGCTCTGCTCTTCCATCAGCTTCTCGATTAATCTGAGTGTTTTGAAGTAATATCTTAACTACACTTTCCAAGAAACGAATTTCTGAGGTTGGGACGACCCTGTGATCAGTTGGATTTTTGGTTCACGTTAGTATTTCGATTAAGAAATAAAGAAAGAGCAAATTGCTTTATTTCAAAATTGGTTTTTTAGTGTGTATACGGTCAGGGCTTCTTAAACGTTTGGCTCATATGCTCCTCCCTTTGATAAAGAACATTCAACTTTCCTTAATATAGAAAGAGCAAATAATTTTTACTTCAAAAGAGTTTATGTATACTATTAAAGCTCCTTAAACTTTTGGCTCATATGACCCTTTCTTTGACAAATAACATTTAACTTTCCTTGATAAAAAAAATGACATTTGACGAACCCACCCTCTATGAAACGAATAACCCCTCCGGCCTCATTCATCCTTCACCACACTCATCCATATTTCCCAAAAGGAACAGCAATCGTATTTTTTTCTTAAAAAAAGATCCAATTCAGTATGATTCCACTCGAAGAAAGATTCCGGGCCGACAGTAAATCGTGCTCTGGCGCTGAGGATGACCCAACATCCACCTCCGTTACCAATATTTGGGATTTTGATCAATTGCGCATGATCAAAATAAAAGGCTTCTTGACGAGTCTCCCATCTGAGGAGTACGTAGAATGTTCGATATTGGCGAAATTTGCCGACTATTTATCTCCAGAAGTTCGTGCTGTTCAGCTTGACCCTGATGGACTCATCTGTGGAGTCTCCCTAGACCCAGAGGAGGATGAGAGGAGTTTGGTTCCTTACCCTCCGTTCTCGATAGTGAAATCCCTTGCTGGATGTCGCACGATCAAGCATTCCCAGCTTCAGGAGCTTGATCGACTTGCACGATGTGTTGACCTTTCATCATACGAAGACGAGAATCAAAATACACGAACGGTTGCCTTCAAATTCCATATGTCGTGGTTACCCTACACATTAGGAAGGTCCTGGGGCGAGATTAACCTTCTCAAAAGCATGCCACCGCATCCCAATTTAATACCGTTTGATGGCGTCGTTCTCGAAGATGTAGAGTCCCGTGTGATTGGATTCACTATGAAGTATATTCCGGGCAAAATTTTGAGCGATCCAAAGATACCTTTTCGATTTGAGTGGCTACAACAACTTACCCAAGTCGTGGACTTTTTAAACTTAAACCTGGGGATCATGCATCAAGATATTGAACTACGCCATTTACTTATCGATCCTGACACACAAAAGCTCCTTTTATTTGACTTTGATATGGCTTCCTGCGGGATGAAGGGATTGGCGGAAGGTCGTGATGACATTTCTTGTGTTGTTTTCACAGTATACGAGCTCATAACGAACGACTCTCGCTACGCTTGGTTGATCCGTACGGAACGACATATAGACATGGTGCAGAATCTTCCCGAATGGACCCCGAACCGTGAATTGGATGCCGATGTTTCCGTATTTCGCAAGTTTTTGAATGACTGGGTAAAGAAACGGCAATCTGGTGGCATCATGGAGCAATATCTTAACGCGCCTAACCGACCTTCATGGCCGGATGAAGTACCGACTTCGCATGACTATGATGTCCCTTTCGAACACGGCATACGTGCGGATGGTACGATGTGTTGGACGACGGGTCCGCGGAGCATGCGCACTGCAAAGAAGCTTGGGCAGTATTGCTTTGAATGGCAGAGACCATTACAAAGCAGGATGACAAAGAAAGCTTGCGTGGAAATTGTGAAAGGGATCGATGAGAAGTTTTGCAACGAAGACTTCTTCCAGGCAACTCCAGGTAAGATTTTGAATGCCATATTTCCCATGTCCGCTCTTGATTGTTTACTAACTTTGCGTTATATGACAGTTGACTGGATTGTGAGGAGGGAAAAACCCATCATTGATTGATTGGGAGTTTCAAGGTTCGGGAATATATGGTCATATATGGCGATGTACGGTCTAGAGTAGCTGTTAGGTTTGATATTATGGTAGGGAAATTCTAGATGAAAGGGCTACAGGGCATGGTCATGATCATCTGAGGAAACATTCGGGTGATTATCGGGGGAATTGACGGCTTGATAGTGTGGGGTAGGTTAAGGTTAGAACGATTTTCTCTTCTCAATGTTCTTTTATTACTAGACTCTTAGGGTTAGCAATACACATACGTATATACGGCATTTACTCAATCTCAGAAAGGCCTCCGCCCCTAGTGTCCAATGTTACCACTATCGCCCGATTGAGGTGTACTGTACTTATCTTCGACATCTTGATCGTCATGCTTTGATAGAACCGTTATCGCTGCAAGTGGGGTTTAATGTTTGCCTGCGGGGGTTCATAGATTCACACGGATTGCCAGACGAGGGAAAGATATCCACGCTAAAGATATAGCAGATATATCAATTTAAGGCATCCTCATTTGCATATTAAAAAGTCCTCGAGTTTCAGCCGTCTGCGCACTTGTTGTTTTCTCCCGGCCCCCGAGTCTACCAAAGTAGTTTCCTTCATGGCACTGTCACGTGTCAAGGAATACATCTCCCATCCCTACGAGCATCCAGGAGAGAGGAAGTTAGTACAGAAATTAGGTGAGTACTAACCTGGCCATGGTCGATGGAATATATAATCGATATTGGACTAGATAAAATCACTAATAACTATAGACTTCTTCATTTTGACGTTTTGTTGTCTATCATACTTCACGAATTATTTGGATCGATCCAATTTGGCAAATGCGTATGTCAGTGGGATGAAGGAGGAATTGGAATTCGTGGGCAATCAATACAATCTTATTAATACCATTTTTACTGTTGGGTATGTGTTCAGTTTCTGTTGTACTTCCTCATAGACCATGTCCCAAGTGATTCTGGTTGCCACCCTAGATATCAGCTGACGTAGACCTCGTTGAGATTTCACTATACCACCTGAATTACGCCTATTGTATGATTCTATCATACTAACAGCATGCTAGATACATCATCGGACAAATCCCTAGTAATTTGGCACTTTACTACATCAAACCTCGCATCTTCTTCCCTTCAATGATGGTTCTGTGGGGCTGCCTCACTATGATCACTGCAGCTGCTCACCATCCTCGAGATATAATGGCCATTCGTTTCTTTCAAGGTCTTGCTGAGAGCACCACATTTGTTGGTACACATTATATCCTTGGATCATGGTACACTCCTCGCGAACTTGGAAAGCGCAGTAGCATATTCACTTCTTCCGGCCTTGCTGGTACTATGTTTGGAGGCTTCATTCAAACTGGTATTCACTCATCCTTGAATGGTGCAAAGGGAATGAGTGGCTGGCGCTGGCTTTTCATCATTGACGGACTTATCACTCTTCCCATTGCCCTCTATGGCTTTTTCTTATTCCCAGATACACCTACCACCACCTCGGCGTTTTATTTCACACCCATCGAGCGTGATCTTGCCATAGCACGTGTTCCGGAAGTACCTGAACATAGTCTCTTCAAGTTCTCGTTCTTGAAGACAGTCCTGACATCATGGTACTGGTATGGTTTCGTAATTCTATGGGTCATTGCCGGAGAAACCGAATCATTCTCCTCAAATTCTTTACTTTCATTATACATGAAATCCACCAACAAATATACCGTTTCTCAACTCAACAATTATCCTACCGGCGTTCCTGCTGTCGGTATTCTATCTACTATTTTCTGGGCGACCCTCACCGATTTTCTCAACGGCAAACGTTACCTCGTAGCATATTTCATTGCCATAACCGGAATGGCAACATCCGCTATGATTCTCGCGACATCGAATGTTCCAACAATATTTGCAGCATATTACTGGGCCGGCGCTGTCTATGCTTGTCAAGCCACTTTCTTTGCATGGGCAAATGAAGCTATGAGATTTGAAACTGATGCATTGAGGGCAATAGTAATAGCGAGTATGAATTGTGGTAGTAATGCCGTGAATGCTTGGTGGAGTTTATTATTTTACGGTGCGGACGAGGCACCTAGGTTTACGAAGGGTATGTGGGCTATGATTGGAACGTGTATCGCTATGGCCATTTGGACAACAATTTTATTGTTAGGCCTTAAACGAGTAGAAAGGAAAAGAGGGGCTGGTGCTGTGGTAGGAAGAAACCAATTTGGAAGTGGTGATCTGGAGGTGATTGCGAGTGCTAGAGAGCATCGTGATAGTAAGGCGTAGCGATATTAAATTTTCACTTCCTGCCGCCTCGTCAATATCCAATGTCGATCTATAGTAGTTTAATCGGAATAATTTACTATACTCAGGAGTCATCATAGAAATCCGGACTTAGAGGTAGATTATCTTTCAGAGATACAAAGCGCTTCGATATTAGATTAGGAAATACTAAGATTATCTTTTTTCTCTTAAACTCGTTGACATGTATTATAAGACGGGTATATATATACTATGTATACTTTTTAAATATTTTAAATCCTTAAATGACTTTTTTATTATATAATTTATTTTAAAAATAGTCAATACTCAATAATTATTGATTTAAAACTCAGTTTAATTTTATTTGGATTAATTTATTAAATCTAATATTTTTATTTATTTAAATATAGATTTACTATATAATTATAAATAAATAAAAATGTCAATTTTAGATATAAAAAAGATGATTTAAAAATTATAAGTATTAGATTTATATTTTATTATTAAAAATATAATTTTTTTATAAATGAAAAAATTATTATTTAAAATTTAAAAAGAAAATAATTATAATAAGATTAAATATTAAATATTAAATCAAATACAAGTTCACTTTTATAATAATTAGGATTTAATTATTATAATTAAAAGAGTTTATATATAATACTTGTATATTCAATTATAAATTACATATTTAATAGTAGATTTTTCTTTTTTATAATAAGTAATTTAATATAAATATAAATATAAACTTATTATAAAAACAAAAAAGAAATAAAATTTACAAAGAGCACGTTATAAAGATAATCTTAAAAGTAAAAAAAATAAAAATTAGTAATATATAAACCATGATTGATTATTATGAAACTAATGATAATAAATATCCAAACTCAATTGCATGATTGCAATTACTTAAGTAGATGCGCCAGACCTTGAGACAATTAACTTCTTCAAGTAATTACAGGTCTTTTTCTCCTCCTTCTCCTTCTCCTGCTCCCTCTTCCTCTCCCTAGCCTGACATTTTCCCCAAGCTGCCCACATAAACCAATGATCAAGCCTCGATATATACCATCCCGAAGCTTCAAGAACAAGACGTATTTCGACGCTATACTCCGGCAATTTCCAGTCTCATTTAGCAACAGTAGCATAGTCAGCCACGGGACAATGCAGCGACCTACAATAACTCAACTCCTCGATATAAAGTTGCTTTCTAAATAAATCGATGGGGCCGGAATTCGGAAAGAATTCTCTGATTTTTACCTGCAGAATATCAGATGTCTCTAACTTGTGAGCGATTTCCTGCCACGCATGTCCTTCGCCCAAGCCGTATCCTTGATCATGTTGTCGGCACATGATACAGTCGCAACCGTAATACTTGAAGTAGAGCTCGAGCATGGCTCCAAGGAGAGCTCCGATATGATCCCATGATCTTTCTTTCCCGCGGATTTTTATCTCTGCTGCGAATCTGCTCAGCTTGTTGGTCGTTATACGGTGGACAATTAAATCTGCTGGCGGAAATTCATGGCCCAGTGCCTCTGAAACCTTTGTGGATGGAAGTTCGTTCACGGAGAATATAACTTTGGAGGCTTCGAATAGCTTCATGAGAAATTTGTTGTACTCGTTGCCTTTGAAAGTCTCGAGTTCGAAACGATGATCGTTGTCGTTTGTTTGGATGGCAACATATGCTCCGAGACTACTCATTGCTTCAGACACATCTGCCCTTGCCTCAGACACATCTTTATCCTTAGAAGATGGCGGACTGACAACATCGATGCGTTTTAAAAGTCTTTCGACTAGATCCGGTGTGTTGTGCCGACCCGGTTTGAGTGGCAATTCGTCCTTTACAACGGTCCCAAAAATGGGACCTTTATGATAAGGATGATGATGAAACATTTTCGCTTCAAAAGATTTTCAAGGATATGATATGATATGATATGATATCCTGTTGTGTATTCGAAAAATGGTGTGTTGGGCTATGCTTTTTCTGTAGCTTTGTGTTGTATGTAATAAATGTGAAGGATCTTTTGTGGACTCTAAACTTTGAGATATTTAAGTAGGGGTGTGAAATATGCACTGCTAGCCATGAATCAAAACTAATCTAATGATGATTCGAATATTTTGAGTTGACTCACGAAACGGTTTGTGGAAACCGGAGTCACACTTGTGAAGGTTGGGTTTACATTAATTTATATGATAATCCAGCAACAAAGATGACAATGAAATGGAATGTACATGAGAGTGATGATAATGCCACAGGCTGTAAAAGTGCAAGAAAAGGTGATGCCAAATGGAATCACCGACTTGTGTCAGTAGTCATATCAGACATAGAATTCATATGTGAATCATAAATTGATGTAGATATACTGACTCAAGGAGGCAGACGAGTACCGTGTGTCGAAAAAGAGGATAAAGCCTCACTAGCTTTACTGCATCAACACAACATATTGAAAATATGAAAATAATTGATGTGACACACAACCTCTATGACCTCCCCCATATCTTTCCTTGTGATCCATCATTCTTGAATAGCACCAAACTATGAGCCATAGGAAAATGGCGACCTTGAAATTCATATAATTCATTCTAACAAGAAAAAAAAAACCGTGACACAAAAGCTGATTCTACTCTAATTCCTAGACCCCTTCTTTGGACCTAAAAATTAACAAAGTAACATGAGTCAAACATCCTTTTCCGATTTCTCCCAAATGACACCGAATGTTCCTTGCTGAAATTTATCACGAATCCTTCCTATACCACGAATCCATACAATATCTTTTCAACAGTAGTAGCATCAAAAAGACTGATCATATCCAACTCATCTACCTTTTCAATACCCCTTTTCACCAAATGAGTAGCAGCTCCTCGTCTTCTCAACTGTGAGCACAAAACGACGAATTAAATCTAGTATTCGCGCATGTCAAGGAGATTCATCATGAAAAGTAGAATTCAAATCCTACGTGCATGACGTCGGCTCCGATATTTGATTCTCGCTTTTATAATTTCATGCCAATTTTCTCATTCAGAATCCACAGGTTTTACCCAACGTTGGTAGGGTCTTGATCTTTGAATTGGATGACACGTGCGGTGCCTTCTTCAATTGCCTTGACTTGAGCTTCAGGAATAGTGTCGATATTGAGGTAGAAAGGGTACGATAGGCGTTAGGTGGGAACTCGAAGGAGGTGATTTCTGCTGAGACTCCTTGGTAGTCGGACTCGGATGTGACTTTGCTAATTTGGAAAGCGATGGTAAAATGAAAAGATGTAAAATGGTTGAAGTTGTTGAAGCAGAAAGAAAGTTAGCTGATAGCGATAATTGATACAATTAAGCTAGTGCGGGTTAAGAGAAATTCACGACGTCGGATTGGAGACGATGGATCAGATTTGTAAGACTTGACTAATTCCAACCGTTGAAAATCTAGCTTTACCTCTCAAGTTGTTTATTACCTGCATGAGATTTCAATAGCTTTTGACACCATCGAAATGATGTCTTTCGCCATGGGATGGTATTCCACATGTGCTTAGAATATTTGTCGTATGAATGGCTTTGGGAATAAAGCGAGCAAAAGACGGGGGATTTCGCCATGGTAGCTGCTCCTATTCCAAATTCCCCGTATTAGTCATACACGGTGTTGTGTGTAGCATCTGAATAAATGTATAACAAAATGGTAACATCGAATTCTACATCTGCGCAAAATAATCCATCTCCAAGGTGTTGGGCCTTAAATAGGACCATATAGGGGAATTAATGGTGACGGTCCGCTAAAAGCGTTGGCTTGACCTTACTTAGGTCACCACCTACTGATGGTCCAGTGGCTTAAGACCTGGAAGTGCGGGGTAAAATCACCCTGAATCGCGAGAAAGGGATATTTGGAAAGCACCATGTTTTGTTTGGATGCTTCATTTTACCTAGAACAACAAAGATATGAGAATGATGAATTCGTGGTGATTTATTGCCTTCAGAATGATAGGAGTGTCATTGTCGAGGATTCATTGCGATGGAATCTTGCCTCGGCAGCTAATCTTTCCATCGAGGCTGCTACCAGTCGTCTGTTGTCTGCTTGATTTCGTTGTTGGAGCGTCTAGCAGGTCGACATGAATCTTCAAATGTCCCAAGGATGCCTCGATAGTATACGATACTTCTGTTCAACTTACTAAGCGATTTAAATAAATGACTTCAAAGGTTCTTACGGATAACAACATCTACACCGAGAAAGAGCCTCCTAAGGCTGATGGCGCCGCCGGTTTGGGGTTATCCCTCTCCGCGGATAACCTTGACGAGTAACCTGACGAGTAACTTGACGAGTAACCTACCTAATCGTGATTGTTAATGGCATGATTACGGTGTATGTATCCATGTATCAGCACAGCACAGCACAGCACAGCACAGCACAGCCACCTCCCACCCCTGACATAGGGGTTCAACAGTCAGACTGACACATACAGAAGGAGAATAGTCGGAATGGAACCCCGTGCGACAAATCAAGAGCAGAGCGTCTCTCGTATCATATACGAACCTCCCATTCAAAACGGAGAATCAATTTACTAATCAACAACGTTTTGGTACCTACAAGTCTCAATGGGGGCATCGGTAACATGGTTTCCCGTCCATTTCCCGTCCCTTTCTCATCGGAAACGGATCTTGATCCTAACCTAATACCCTATGGATCAGGAGCTGTCGAAAGGCCCATAAACTACGCAGTAAAGTGGGTTAATCATTGACCTTGTGGCACTGATATGTGAACATCAAGTGGATAATGGACGATAATCAATTATCAGACGAATATTGTTTCTGGTTTAGCACCGGCGACTTAAGGCTAGCCTACTGCAAGTTTACCGGTAACTGGCGCATAATTGCGCTGAAAGTAAGATCGTACTCGTACGAACTAACTAAAAATTGACAGCGACGTTAAAAGCTCAACAGGGGATTCCCGATAGTGACTTGTTATTCGACCCTGAAAGCTTGTGCTAGGGTGGTGGGTGCATAGTGAGTGGTGCAGCCTGCAGGATTAGAAGACGGATGTGGATGGATGGGTGGGATGGGTGGGATGGGTGATGGGTCTCCAAAACAAAAAGAAAGAGAAAAACAAAACAGCAGCGCGTGGCTAATCATCGTACAGACTGGTTGTACTTGTACTTAACACGGTTTAATGATTACCTGACTGACTACCTGACTACCTGACTTCCTGACTTCCTGACTTCCTGACTTCCTGACTTCCTGACTTCCTGACTTCCTGACTTCCTGACTACCTGACTTCCTAACTACCTCTACTCAATATCGCCAGATACCTGGCTATTTAATTTAGTATTTAGTATCACCGGGTGTAACCAGCGTCGACACGCATTTGACTCGAGTTCCGTGATTGTTATTATTGTTATTGTTTACGCTTTTACGCTCCTTCACGTGATTCACCTCTTTTGTGCAATTATTTAAGGGTACCTAGGTAGTTTTTTTAACCTTATATTCGTTCCCCCATCCAGCAGTTTCATAACTTTTTTATTTATTTCATAAGCCTACTTGGGGATTCGTGGCCCGTTCCTTCACGCCAAGTCATTCACTGTTATTACATTGGCTGTTGGGTTATTATTTAATCTCCGCCAATCTTACTATACCGCATCCTACTAAAGCTTCGCCATACGAGAAAACCTATTTAAGATCTGTCGCACTAGAAAACGAGACTGACGGATTCGACCACTTTGTCAAAGCAACCACCATGGATTCCTCGTCTGAAGCAAGGAGTGAGAAGGTCTGGCCGTTGAAGGAGATCAGAGAGTTGGTGGAGCAAGGTCACGCAATTGTTATATCCCGGGGATACGTTTTGAAGTTAGATTCATGGCTCAACTACCATCCTGGTGGTGCCAAAGTTATCCTACATGTGGTGGGGAGAGATGCTACCGTTGAACTAGATGCGTAAGTTATTACCACACCACACTATAGCTGAACCATTGCAGCTAATTCAATCTAGATTTCATAGTAAGGATGTCAGGGTCAAGATGGACCGGTATCGAATCGGCAAGCTGGAAGAACCATGGGTAAATATCATACCCCCTATCCAAAGACAATCACTTCGGCCACCAGAAACCGAGATCGAAAAAGAACCATCGACGCCTATTTCCGAGATACCGTTGGTAGATGTCACCGTCACCGAAAATCTTCTCGCTGTCCCGCGTCAAGCAAATCCCGACAGCGATGCAAGCTCAATTGCCTCTTCGATTTTCGATAACGAGGGTTTACGATCTCGAAATCGAGCAGCCGGAAGTTCAGTCGATTCTGAAGAGATTCCTGATCTAGAACCAAAAATGATGGATGCTGCTGAATTGGAGACTAAATTCCAAGCTCTAATCGCGAAACTAGAAGACGAAGGTTTATACGATTGCAAACTCTCCGCATACGTGACGGAAATCTTGAGATGCGCAATCTTATTTTCTCTTTCGCTCGTATTTCTTCGTCTGGGGTGGTACGCAATCAGTGCAGCATTCTTGGGTATGTTTTGGCATCAAATCGTCGCTACCGCACATGATGCAGGCCATTTAGCCGTAACCCATGACTACAATATCGACTTTTTAATCGGTGGGGTCGTTTTAAATTTTTGCGGTGGACTTTCCATAGGCTGGTGGAAACGCAATCATAATATTCACCACATCGTTACCAATTCGCCGACACATGACCAAGATCTTCAAATTCTCCCTTTCATCGCCATTTCTCCCGTATTCTTCGATTCTCTCTACTCGACAGCTTCAGAATGTATCATGCACTATAACTGGTTTGCAAAATTCATGGTCCCAAAACAAGCATGGACATACTACTTCCTCCTCTCCGTCGCGCGATTCAATCTCTACTACCTAGCCTGGGATTTCATCCTTCGCGACCTAGGCACCAAACTCCACCGCAAACAACGCATCTTCGAACTGGTCGGCCAAATCTTCTTCTGGACCTGGTTCGGTTATTTCATCGTCTACCGTAGCATTCCCTCCCTCTCCCAACGCATCATCTTCTGCCTCATATGTCACATGATCACCCTCCCCCTCCACCTCCAACTAACCGTCTCCCACTTCTCCATGTCGACCGAAGAATCCGAACCAAGCGAACACTGGATCCAACGCATGTTCCGCACAACCATGGACGTAGATTGTCCGACATGGATGGATTGGTTTCATGGCGGTCTCCAATTCCAGGTTACGCATCATTTGTTCCCGCGCATGCCGAGACATAATCTTCGACGCGCAAGCGAATTCGTGAAGGAATTCTGCGCGGAGACGGGTCTCAAATATGAAGTTTATGGCTTTGGGGTTAGTAATGGGAGGATGTTGGATAGGCTTGCGGAGGTGGCCAGACAGGCGAGTTATTTGAAGGATTGTCAGGATAGCATTGTTAGTAAGGGGGAGTATTTACATGGGCATTGGGATTGAGCTTTGAGCTTTGATTTCGCGATTCGCGATTCTTGAGGCATGATTCATGATTCATGAGTTCTTGCCGTTGGGGGCTTTGGGGCTTTTGTACATGTGGTTGATTATGATTTAAAAAATTTGTTTGTAGCCCGTGTGTGTATTTGCTTGGTTTATAGAATCCTATATATATATATAGATATAGATATATAAACTTATACTCTATACTAATATCGATGATATTATAAAATCTTTGATTATGAATAAAAGTAAGATATAAGTCTAGAACTCTACTTTTGAATCATCTTTAATATAGACCACCTTTTTATATCAAAAATCATTATTTTCAACTATTAATAATTCAATAACGAATGAATAAAATCAATTTAATTTTAATAATAGATTTACTATATAATTATTGATGAGTTTTGAAATTTTCAGATTTTTCATAATTTTATTAATCGAGATATTAAAGATTAAAATTTCAATTTTCAATTTGTATAGAATTTATATACAAATTTGGAAAACTCGAAAAACTTAAATAACTTTTCCACAAAAATTACTAAAAATAAATTATAAATCTCTTTTAAATATTTATATTATAATTGATAAGATGGATTAATTTATTTTAAGAAATAATTTACAAAAATTCTTTTAATAAAAATGTTGTGATTTTTAATTCCTGTATAATTTAAAAATATAAATAAAACTTTTTTATATAATTTATTATATAATATTTGATTTTAATAATTCAAAAAGATTTAAAATTTATTTTTGATAATTTTTACTGAAAATTTATTTCAAGTTTTAATGATTTTCAAATTTGTATATAAATTTTATATAAATTAAAATCATTATTTCAACTTTTTATATCTCAATTAATAAAATTGTAAAATTGTAAAAAGTTTGAAATTTTCAAAATCAATAAATAATTATATAATGAATTTATTAATTATTGAAATATTAATAACTGAAAATGATAATTTTTGATGTAAAAGATGGGTCTGAAAGTAGAGTATTAGATTTATTAAGCTTTAGATTGAACAATAAAGAGATAAACATACAATAAGATCTTATTTAAAGAACAATTCAGCTAGTATAAGCTTATTTTTCTAAACTCCCCTGGTACAACTAAACTAATCTCTGTCTATTCTAAGATGTTGTGATCCCTTGGTCGAGCTAACTCTCATTGTTACAGCTTGTATTATTAAGTCTAAGATCATAATGAAGATAATTTGCTAAATACTTGAACAACCTTCGCATGCTTCAAATACTTGTATAGAAGAAAAATCTACTTAATTATAATAAGATCGAGTGAAATATTATTAATATATATGAAATTAGACATAAAGGTTATACATATAAGTATTTTAAATTATTCTTTATAATAAGTCTTATATCATTGGTCAACTATAATGAAGATATATTAAATATTCCATGATCTTTTGTGGAAAAATTATTATATTACTAGTCGATTTCAGCAGGAATGGAGTTACTGTTTCAGCTTATATAATAATATGAAAAACTATTCCTAGTGTACTCAGTTTGAGGTCTCATCAGAACTGAAAATAATATAAACATATATACTTGTCATCGGATAATCAAAGTGAATCTCAACCCTTAACTGCACAACAGACTTCAATCTCTGAAATCACTCAAGTATAGTTGGGATCCACCTTTGGAACGTTAGATGCTACTAGCTTACCCTTCAAGTCTTCTCTTAAAGACTTCTTCAGATCCACTTCTTCTGTTTTCTTCTTCTTCAAGCAATATACTATATGCATCTATAGATGCAAACTTGCTTCAATCTTCCAGCTTTTGCTTATAATTCTCTCAACCCTCCTAATCACCATGTCATATCTTTCAGGTATCGACTTCCGCAAGAAATTCGCACCACTCTTTGAAATAAATCCTCTCTTGACTAACAGTAAGCCAATCTTCCGACCGAGTCAGATCTTAAGATTCCTTATTCTATCTTTTACATACATATGCTAATATGATCAAAAGGTGAAGCATACATGATTCTTCGAGAGAATTCTTTCCATGTACCTAGTACTTGCTTGGATGTGGCTAAAAAGGCTCGGAAACCACGCTCAGAGGAACAATACTGGATCCCCCAAAAGAGCTTAAATCAGTTGGCAGTGACTGAAAGATTGAGAGGGGAGAGGATAACGCCAATTTCGAGTCCCGAGGACCCTCAGTTGACAAAATCTGAGACCACTATTGACGAGGAATTGCCAGATCAAGAGACTCAGAAGGCTAAATTTCCAAAGGTGAAGCCAAGAGAGACGATTCTTCTTAGTGATACAGACGACGAAGTTGAATCGGTTATCATTGTCGACGAGCGGAGACAAGTCTCTGATAATCCCGATGAAGATTCCGCAGATGTAAAGGATCAGCTGGAAGACGCAGACATTCCTGGCTCAAAAAGGAGTTTCTCGGTTTTTGAAATTTCAGATGATTCAGATGCCGACATCAATGATAACGATTATGGTTATGATGCTGACTCTGACCCAGAAATATATCACGGCAGCCAATCATCAAGCTCACAATCTGTGATCCGACCTCTAGCAAGAAGTGAAGTCAACCAAAAAGTTAGATCAAGAATCAGAAACTCGTACGACGCCATGGATTTCGAAGATTGCTGGTACTTTATTTGGCAGGATCCTCAGGCCAGTCGAGAGGAACAAGAATAAAAAATCGTGGGAATTGGCATTGGAAGAATACCGTGAAGCTATATCACTGGCTCGAAGAACAGGAGAGGATTTCTTACCTGAAAGCAGGCAAAAGATAATGGAGATAGAGTATTGAGCCGGAGATAGCATCTTAGTTGAGCTGGATACTTAAATCACCTCTAGGCTGTGCAAAAATAACCTGTGGGTTGCGGATATCTATGGGTAATCCGCACCGCGGAATGGGTTATAAATTTACAACCTATTTTGTGGATTACTTATTGGGATTTTAAAATAATTTGTATTGTATAAGTTATTTGTAGATTATTTGTAAATAATCTGTTAATTCATAATTAGATATAATTTGTATAAAATAAGTATAATTTATAAAGATTGATATAAAAACTAGTATAAAAAATGTAGGAATAGTTTCAAAAATTTAAGTGAATATTATTTGTAGATAATCCGTAAATAATTTATAGATTATTTGTGGATATCTATTTCTGTATATTATTTATGGTTTATCTATTCAGACCTTTCAATTACCTGTCCTGCAAATGGATCATCTATGGGTTACCCTTCAAGGGTAATAATCTGACTCGCGGGGCCCTGTTGCGCAGCCTAATCACCTCAATGTGGTTGACGAGAATACTAACTGCGAGAAGAAGATACTGATTCCGACCTTCTACATGCGTGCATCATATACTTATATGACGACGAAGTAAGTAAATGATCCATTTCCAAAAATATTGAAAACTGATTCTGCAAGAATGAAGGGTCAATGGCTCATGTTAGGTATTTCAAACACGGCTACGAAACTATAATTGGTGAGATAGCAAGTCCAAGAGAACTATTTCTCACTTCTGAATGTGCGAATATTTCTATGTGCGAGGTAAAGGGCAAAATCAAAGTCGACTTTCGCGGGAAAAGCGACAATAACTATGTCTCGGGAATCCGGTCTATCGAAGACAGGTACTTTTATCGGTTCAACTATGATATTTTGTCTGAAAGCTTCACCGAAGCTTCCGAAATGATAATACAGAATCCAGGAACTACCCTTGAGAATTACGATTGTCCTGCTCGGGTTGCAGCCAATAGGAGAAAGGAGAATCAATCGTTGAAAGTATTGGACTTGAATAGAGACAGCGGAACCGCTACTGGATTTATCTATCAAGACATAGAATACCACCTCAGAGACTTTGTATACTTCGTTTCTGAAACCACTTCATAGAAGAAAAAGCCTTACCATATTGGTCAGATTTTACAAATCCTAGTCGATGACCTTGAGGATTCCGATTCTATGTCCAAAACAGATGAGCGAGAAGATTATGAACCGGATATCAGTTTGTGGGTGGATGTATATAAGCGATATGATGATTATTTCCAAGCTGCGAGATTTGAGGATATTGGAAATATAGTTGAACTTACAACTTTCGACGAGAGACGAGTTTTCCTCAGAAAACCAAAGACCTTGAATCCGGAAAGACTTGATGGCCGTTGCTTTGTTATGCACATTGAGCACATTGAGGATCTAGACGCCTACAAAGACTTGGAAGACACATTCTGGGTTCAGGATCATATTCCACAAGATTTAATAAAAGATTCCGTTTCCGTTGAAGATTTGCAACCAATGCCTAGAAAACATTTCAAGTACTCTAAGGAGAGCAAGAAGAGGTTGAAACGAGAGGAAGAGAAAGTGGTATTCCAAGAGAATGGGACGAAGTTAACGACTCTGGTAAGCCCTGTTGCCTCCCTTTAAATGTTATAAGATATATGCTAAATTTCTGACAAGGATATTGTAAAAGTGGTAGGTCGAGATACATGCATCCCGATAGTATATTGTGAGGAAGGAATTGGAAGAGAAAGCTGAATTAGATTATATTGTAATACATTACTTATAAGTAAAACAGGGTTCATAATGGTTTTGAGGTTGATATTATATAGATTCAAATATATATATATAAAAGGTTGATTATTATAAAAAGAAGAGGCAAAAGGCTTTTCTTTTATATTTAATTATAGAAGATTATATAATTGATTAATTAAAACCTTTATGTATTTGACCTATAATTCCAACTTTCTCACAATATCTTCAGCGGAGCGGGTGGATTAAGCCAGGGCTTCCATGAAAGTGGAATAGTAGGGACTACATACGCCATCGAGTTCGACACCGCTGCGGCTAAGACCCTCAAGCGAAACTTTCCAGATGCTATCGTGTATAATCATGATGCGAACAAGCTGTTACAATGGGCAGTAAATGAAGAAGCCTGTCTAAATGCAGGAATTCTATACGATATGGAAAATAATGCCCTTTTGAAAATGCCTTCAATAGGAGATATCCAGATGATTATTGGAGGCCCCCGTGTCAAGGATGGAGTGCATTGGATCGAAATAAGGGGGAGCGGTGCTCTAAAATAGAGTTGATTGCGACTTATCTCTCGTATGTCGATTTCTACAGGCCGAAATATTTTCCGCTACAAAATGTAATGGGGCTGGTGCACCAGAAGGTAGGTTTCTCACACATAAAAACTTCCTGATAGACAAATAATCATTATAGCTCGACGGTGTTGACGTCCCGGGTCATTCTTACGGCAGTCTGCGTAATGGCGCAGTAAAGTATGCAATAATGATGAATTCCTATTAGCATCAAAACTGTTTTGCTAACAAGAAATACAGATTCATCTTCCGGACTTTGATATCGTTAGGCTATCAGTGCCAATGCGCGTCTCTACAAGCCAGTGTATTTGGATCACCTTCCTCCAGAACAGAGTAATTTTCTGGGCATCCCTACCTGGATATGAACTCCCGAAATACCCCCAGGCAACACACTTGTTTGACGGAAGGGTGCCTAAGGGTCCTCATCGTGTCAGAAGACCGGCTCCTCATTGGGCCATAACTATAGGGGATTGCATATCAGATTTACCTAGCTTCGAATGGATAAATCTCATGTGATCAATCCCGAAACGGCTGCACAAAAGTCCAATCGACTGAACCGTGATAAAAATGTTACCCAATACTCATGTTCAGTCTCATCAAAGGCATTAGACTATGTTGGATTTGCAAAGCAAGCATATCTCACCGATCCTCTAAACGAATACCAAAGAAAGATGCGCAAATCGGTTCCCAGTGATCATCTACAAAATTATACCATCCACCAGCTCTCACAAAAATATACCGAGCAACTATGCAATATTCCACTCCGCGCAGGGGCCAATTACAAAAATATACCCAAGAATCTCTTGACAAAATTCTTGCAACAGGCACTAGACAACCCGCGAAATGGTGGACAAGACGAATTAAGGGGAAGATATGGAAGACAGTCCGTGAAGCAGGGGTTTAAAGTGGTGACTACCAAGCTGAATATTAGCAGTGTTGGCTGGGTATGTACTGAAAAGGTTTTGCTACTAGCCGAGGATAATTTCAAAAACTAACAGGAGCGATACTAGATACTCCATCCATACCTACATAGGACCTACTCTGCGAGAGAATCCGCTAGAGCCCAAGGGTTTCCGGATAGCTTTACTTGGGATATGGATAACACGAAGATGACGGACATCCACAAGCAAATTGGAAATGCGGTGCCAATTCCACTTGCACGAGCGCTCGGAAACGAACTATGGAAAGTTTTGCAAGACAAATCACGTGCACGAAGAGAGGTTAACCATGACGGAGAAATGGTTGACCGAGAAGAGGTTAAGTTAAGCTCAACGACGAGTTCGAAATAAAGCTGAATATAGGTACGGGGCTGTTGGTGGACAGTGACAGTGATAATGAAAACGTGGATGATCAAGAAGATGCCGAGCCAGAGGATGAAGTGGATCAGGATATGGAGATAGAAGGAGTCATAACCAGCACCGTAAGACAGGAAGGAACGGGGTTGAATACAGGATGGAGCAGGGATAATCCGATTGTGCTTGAAAATTCAGACTGATAGTTAAACACTGCTTTTCGATATTGCGAGAAGTCTTTGGGGCCGATTAAGGATGTTTGATGGGTCAACTTGGTCAAGTTCTAGATACTGTGGATTCTGATAATTTTTTGACGAAAATCGAGCTTTTGTAGAAAAAAGAACATGCCTGTAAGAGAAATCGTGTCTGGCATTGTGAAACACTGCCTATCTCATCCTCAAGCTGTACAGCGTTGCACTGAAATTTCTTTCCACCCATAGGCATGTAAGCTTCAAACCACATCACCGACTGATTGAAAGCAGCTCGCTTTGCGTAAATTAAATTTCATCTCTAGTCGTTCGACCTCTTTCTAGCAATTTGGTGATAAAAGTATGCTCTTCACTTGAAGATAGATTTAGCAGTACCAGTAGTATTATTGATATCAGCGTCGCTCATGTTTGGAAGGTTAACTAATCAATCTCTGGACTACAACACTGATTTATAACTGAATGACACAAGTCCGACGTCTAGATAAACTTAAGTGATACAAACAATGAGGAATAGACAATCAAACAAAGTTGTCCGTTTTCGTCACTACATGCTTCATGCCATATTTCTAAGGTTGACACGATTGCCCAATAAAGGTAAAGACCAAAATAACACGTGACTACATACATGATCTGTTCATCCAGAAGGAAAGCTTAAGTAGCTCGAAAGTTTTCATAGAATTCCTCGCAGATGAAGAAGTAAAAGAACCGATACAGTCACTTGAAAACTGGTAAGATTTGAAGAAGATTTATACCTATGAAAGGTAAACCAGACATCTTCTCACGGGACACAATGGATTTGAGGTTACCGTAGCCTTTAGTTCTATCTTTAGCGGACACCTTTATCTCAAATCATTCCACACCACCAACCTACTTTAATGCTGAACAGCAGGATTATCAGAGGTTCATCACTCATGATCCGTTCGAGATACCTCGACAGGTCTCGATGGCGGTAGAGAATGTAATCTATTCTCATGAGGCAGGGCCTCGGGTGGGAAATCATGAGCAGGATGCGAGATCACCTGAGCAAGATAACCTCAAGCAAGTCACCGCCCAACCCGCAATCAAGCACCTTAAATCTTTTCCAGCAATCAAGAACCCAGGCCAATTACGAACACCTTCACCGAGCCCTTCTCCAAGTAGCCCATCAACGTCACAGGTTGTTGTGGACGAGTCGCTTGGGAATGCAGAAAAAGCCCCATCTGTGCAAACTGGCAATCAGAGTTCCGAGTCATTCCATCACTTTAGGAATCTTCCTTCTCTTGCAGAGCACGATGGGGCAAGTGGAACAACTCAGCCGTCTCCCATTCCCAAAGATTCGCCTTCCTCCCATGAACTCGATGACATTCCAGAGGAAGAAGTCAAAAGTCATCGGAAATTGTCCTTGAACGATGCTGGGGAAGAAAAGGTTCTTAAATTATCAGCTGCTGAGATGACTGAGTTAACATCAGCTCCTGAGTCTCTTCCAATGATCTCACCTAAAAAACTATTGACTCCCAATATCAATCAAAGTGGTGCCCAAGGACGGGGCCGTACAAGATCCGGCTCTGACGTACCTCGCATGGATCTTGACGATCAACCGTCCGAATCGACAGATTCTCACAAGTTTGATACCGTAGAAACTGTGAGGTTCACTTCAGATATCAATGGGGAGGGCCGAGAATACCCAGACGGACCTCAAACCAGTGGTGGCACTAAACGACCCACTATATCGTCTTCTTCCCGTGCCTTTAGTGCCCAGCCGGTTACAGGTCAATGGCCGTCATACTCCAAACCAAATCCAGTTCCGATATCTCCCAAACGTAGACCATTCCCTATCGGGCGCGGAACAGAATCATTAAACCTCAACCTTGAAGGCTTGAATTCGCCCGTCATGGGTAATGGAGCGAGCAAATCTTCACAATTACCAGATATACCACCGCCGTCGCCAATACCTCAGTCAATTCCTCTTCCTCCAATGTCGATTCCTACTTATCTGCAGCTTGAGCTTTCCGCAACAAGGCCGTCGCCATTGTATATATATCGTTCGGCTTCCACTGAATTTCCTTATGAATCATCGAAAGTTAAATTTGAGCGTTTATTGAATTTTTTGTTACTACCACCACAACTGGAGCAAGTTCTATATTTTGGATCTTTGGCATGTCTTGACGCCTGGCTTTATACCTTTACAATCTTACCATTGCGATTTTTCAAAGCTTTAGGTGTTCTTATTTCATGGTGGGGTCATGTGCTAGCCAAGGAATGTCGCTTCATTACTGGCTTTGTCTATCATGGCACAAGCCGTATGTGGCACCGACGAAATGAACGTCGTAACGCCGAATCTCTTTCTCCCACAAGGAGTACGTCACGTCCAAGCAGGCCTTCGATGTCGGCAACAACCTCGTTTCAATCTCAAGCTGGAAGACCGACTGAAGCTTTCAGGCGTAGCGGGACTACTGAAACTACCCCTAGGCTAAATGGCGAGCGTAGACCGAGACAAGGTTGGGGTCGTCGCCATCGCCGCATGAAATCTCAACCTTCCTCATTATCCTCGTACAACAAAGCCGATCTCTTACAAGGAGCTGTCATAATTTTCAGTTCCTTCTTCCTAATGAAGTTGGACGCAAGTAGAATGTATCATAGTATTAGAGCCCAGTCAGCCATTAGACTTTATGTTATATATAATCTTTTAGAGGTATGTGAACTGATTTAGGCTTTGGAACAAGTTTACTAAATCTGCTAGGTCTTCGATCGACTTGCGTCAGCCCTAGGTCAGGACATTTTTGAATGCCTGTTTTCCGACGAAACGCTAGAACGAGATAGCGATGGTAGAAGCAAAGTATTGCGACCCCTTGGCATGTTCGTGCTTGCTCTCATATACAATGTCATTCATGCAGCAGCATTATTCACCCAGGTCGTCACCTTGAATGTTGCTGTGAACTCTTACTCGAATGCTCTCATTACACTATTGTTGTCGAATCAATTTGTGGAAGTCAAAGGAACTGTGTTTAAGAAGTTCGAAAAAGACAATCTCTTCCAACTCACGTGTGCCGATGTTGTGGAGCGGTTCCAGCTTTGGCTTATGCTCATGATTATCGCATTACGAAATATTGTTGAAATGGGTGGATTCAGCAGCATGGCGTCATCTGCGTCAGAAGCAACTAGTCCGTTACGTACGAGCTCAATGCTTCCAAACAGCTTTACCATTCTTCCAGGCTGGTCGGGCGAGGTTCTTTCGCCGTTCTTCATAGTGATAGGTAGTGAGATGTTGGTAGATTGGATCAAACATGCATACATCAGCAAGTTTAATGGCGTCAAGCCAGCAATCTACCAACGATTCCTCGACGTATTGGCCAAGGATTATTACACAAATGTAAGTTTTTCAATCACTAATTAGTCACTCCATCTAACAATTCTAGGCTTTTGTTAATCAAAATCTTCTTAAACGTCTGGGTCTTCCTGTGATACCACTTTCGTGTCTTTTTATCCGAGCTGCATTCCAAACGTATCACATGTTTCTCGCAACTCATCTTCCTCCCCCACTTCCATCAGCTACAACATCTTTATCTGTTGAATCCTCTCCAGCCACAACGGCAGCCTTCGAACATTTTGATACCATTGTCCGCAAAGCCCTCGGTCGTTCAACGTTCGGCTTGCCAAACCCGGACTCCATTACACCATGGTATCTACCCAGTACCGATGATGTAATTGCATCACTGACCATGATTGTCTTCTTCCTCGGTGCATTCTTTGTCCTTCTTGCCTGCAAACTCGTGCTCGGCATGCTGTTACTAAAATTCGCACGCAATCGTTACCAAACCATGAAGATGCGCGAACATCGAAGCTACGAGACGGGTGGAAAGAGAGTCGGTGGTTGGGGCATGATAGAATTGAATGATGATAAAAAGCGGTGGATATATGATGATGATCCCGAGACATTGAAGAAGTTGAAGGAAAAGGAGAGATCTGCGAGAGATAAGGAGAAGGTGGGGGCGGTGCAGGATTTTTCGAAGATTAGTAGATATGAGATGGCCGCGAAGAGAATATGGTGAGGGCTTAGGGCATATTACTTTTACATTAAATAAACATCCCTATTATAATATTCATTTTGATTTGCCTAAAGTATTAAAACTATGAAACCAGAGAATTATATAATACATAGCCCCTCCTGCCGAGGCACTAACATCAACGTTAATGATTCATGTGATCAATATCCCGACAGTTTGAATCATCTGCTTCCTCCGAAGTATCATCTCTAAACTCGACACCAACACTTTCCAGCTTCTCACGGACAGTTGTCGCACTCTCAAATGTAAGGGGGACAAAACCCGTCGGACGTTGCTTGCATAAATATTGCTCCCTTACCTGATCAAAATGTATCCATTCTTGTAGTAAACTGTTTTTCCAAGCCTGTTTCTCCTCCTGTAAATCGTGATTGTCTTCGGGATTAAGTGGGCTTCCATGAAGTGATATCGGTGAAGTATCCGTGTTATCTTCTGTTATAGAGACTGATAAAGGACTGGAAATTATATATTGTCGTTTCGATACAGGGTTATCCTCTTCATCAGTCTGTACTATATCAAGCACAACCCGCTGTCGTTTGGTTGAGCTTTGACTTCCCGGGGTTGACAATTCCTGTAATGTATCACCATCCATCTCCTCTACTTGCTTCACACGCTTGCCGTCTATGTCCTTGACTGTTATTACTGATCGAGCGACGCCACCCTCAAGGAATGCTGTGATACCACTAAAAATTGTCCATGCAAATCTGGCGTATATGAATTGTGGTCTGCAGTAGGTTATCGGATGTGTACGGGTGTTGTGATACAGAGGAACGATATCTTCGATATATTCCATAGCATGAACGACGAAATCATCTCTTTTCGGGTACAAAAAGAACGATCGATCGGCGAATGCTTTGTGAAGATCAGAACGAAGCAACATCAAGTTATTTGCGTCGTTCAATATAACCCGATGGCCGAGGCTGTGATTGCTATTATATCGAAACATAGAGTTCTGTAGATACCAGACCCTTTCCTGCTCGGGGCACAAATGCGCTACTTCTGTTGCAGTACTGTGGTTTGTAATGCAGCAGCGTCTGTCACGAGCGCGGATGAGGGTACTATATGTCGATGGTCGACCAACAGGCGAGAGAGAAAAGCGCTGGAGGACGGTGGTCCATGCGGATGGTAGATGGTTTGGGAACTGCCAGTGTTTGAAGGATAACACCACCGGCCATCGGTATACGCTCGCGGAAGTAGAATTACTGTCGTCTTCTTCTATTACAGGAGCAGGAAGGTGGTACCAGTAGTCACCAGCAGGGAGCAACGCACCTGACTCGTATATCAGAGGATCGCCGCCGGGGCTGTCCGTTAGCCAGCCTTCATGGCGATTACCTGCGATGATTGCACATGCATCGTGAACAAGGCTATAGCATATCCCTCCTACCGCGGCATCAGGCGCATAGAGACTGAGAAGTAGACCTTGATCGTATGCAGGATGGTGAATGTCGACACGCTGAGAGGCGGACTTAAGGTATTGGAATTCGGGTGTAACTGCCGGGTCTTCGAGGTCGCGAGGTCCTCGTAAGGTAATACTAGAAACATTTGCCATATTAGTATAAAAGCAAAGGAAGATATTATGAGTCGATAAGTATAGTGGCGTTGTGCTCGTCGATGGTGCTGCTCTTTGTTGTTTCTTGTATCTGATTGTAATTAATTTTTGTGGTTGTTGAATGTCTAAACTAAAATTGATTAGATTTGTAGAGGTTTCTGCCACATGTTACCGCCTTCATTTTTGGCAGGAAATGCTCGCAAAGGCCTTATCGATTTATCCATTTGCCCCCACTATGTTCCCCAAAGGACGGTCTACCGCACAGAGTTCGGTAACCTTGTCGGTCACGTGAAGAGTAGATTACTTCTAACAAAAATAACTAGTGTTTTATAATAAATGATGTTTTATGGATATAGTTAAAACATAATTGTAAATAAATGAGTAACATAGATTACACTTTCGAATATAAAGTGTATAATGAGGCCACCTACAATATACCGATTGTCCGTATTTCTTGGTGACGAAGACGATGATTTGTGAAATTGATGGGATGAATTCACCCTCTATCTTGTTCATTTATGCAATATATCTTTAATCGTCGTTGGCTCCTGCCTACGCTGCATTCCGGATATCTGACCCCTACGAACAAATTCAAAGCTAATTACATCGAGGTTACATTGTTCAGCGCTGGTATTAACAGTCGAGATAGTACGTGGAGCTAAGGGGAAGCAGTAGAATGAAAGATGAAGTAACAACCGATTTGTATGATGAACTGGGTTAAGAACATGTACAAAGGGCAGAAAGATCGAACTCACTGTTCGTTGAAATCGGTACCATATCAGTTCCACTAATGTAGGCAGATTCTGAGGTCTCAAGATCCGGCCACCTATAACTGTCTGTTGATCACCTCATGGCCCGAAGTTTTCAATGATTTTTTGAGAGGAGAGACAGATTTCTTCTTTTTGCTCAACACAAACCTTGGGAGAACAAGAAGAAACTGGCTTTGGTGAGAGACTTTCTTTCAAACGACACAGTTCCGCCGTTTTTATGCCATTTCAACGTTCTCCCCGTATATATAGGATATCCCCTCTGGATCTTTCAGCCAAATCGACCTTGAAAAGTGTATAGCTAGCTGACTTGTAGCTTCCGGTAGGATTTCAGCGAGTGGAAGTAGAATAACTATTAGAATAGGCGGAGATCGAAATCATTGAGATTCTTTTCTTCAAATAAATTTCAGCAGTATTTTTGCCCCTAGTAGACTTATGGCTAATTTGTTATCTCGCTTGAGTGAGATTATTGACGGATTGGGAGATGTAGCTTCCAGTCGCACCTTCCCTCATGATCACGTGAAATCGGGCATGAAAACGTTAGAGCTACCGAATCATCCTGCCATCCTACAGTCCCTCTCCAAACCAAAAGCAAAATCCTCTGCCACGCCAGTTTATACAATCATCGTCTTTATTTGCAGCCTACACATGCTTTTGATTGCCACATTTTCCTTTTAACTGAGGACCGACAACATCACGGAAGGCACGATGGCTCTCCTCTGGACTCCGTTGTCCGCATTTTAAAAATTACTTCCGCGTCTGTTTACCAAACCACAGGAAAATTTCAATTCATTTTCGCAACATAGGTTCCATGGAAACAACCTAGGTATGGGATCACAGCTGTCGGCGCGGACACAAGGTGGCTAAGAGACAGGAAGAAAACGTCTGGCAACTGGCAACTGGCAACTGGCAACTGGCAACTGGCAGCTCCGAAAATGGTGGATGGAACTGTGGTAAATTCCTCAACAAGCCCTCTCTACCAGCGGAGGGCAAACGCAGGAACATTCTGCACCATGAAAAATGTGACTCGGATACATTAAAGAAAGATGAAAGTATACTGCGAACTGGAATAACTCTCGCTGGAGCGAAGGATTTTATCAAGATGAATCACTCAACCGCTGTTAACATTTGTGATGATTTTTTCGAGGGGTTTAGGCTTATCAGCCTCTAATCACTGCTTTATTGGTGGGTGGGGCTTCAGGGTGGGACACAGTGTATCACTCTATAACCAGGCTTATCAAGCTCGAGCTAGGCTATTTTACAGGCCTGTGAAATGACACGGCCTCCAATGAATCTGACACCAAATGTGGATCGTCCCCACACTTTGCAGCCACCTGCAGAAGGTCGTCACCATAAAAAATTCCTTGATGCGCTGGGCGCTGCTATCTTGTCCTTTTCATGATACGGGCAACCTCAAGTATATCGTATATCCCAGGCACCGCTTTAATCCAATTTACAATGATTACGAAAGCCCTTGTCGTGAGCAGCCCCGGCGGTGAGTTCGTTTATACTGACGTGGAAGTCGACGAAGACATTCGTGCCACCGAGGTACTTGTCCAGATTGTTGCGACGGGAGTCTGTCACACCGATATCAATTTTGGCCAACATGATATTGAGGGGATGTTCCCAGCTATCTTGGGGCACGAAGGTCAGTAGGCCTCCACCTTGTTATTGCACCATTAACAGGTATGCATCACAGGAGCGGGAATTATCTCGAAGGTTGGATCAAGAGTCTCCAATTTCCAAAAAGGAGATTGTGTCATTCTCAGTTACACAAGTTGCGGAGAATGCAAGTATTGTGTCCGGAAGGAGACAAGCTTCTGTAATGATTGGGAACTCGATAACTTCGGAATAGGTAGAGGTTGGGATGGTAGTAAGGCTTATGGATATCCACCTGGTGAAGACGAATTATCTGAGACAAAAATCACAAGTCATTTCTTTGGACAAAGTTGTGAGTAAAGTTCTAGAATCAGGGAACCCAGTTAACTTTCAACAGGTTTCTCAAGTTTCGCGGTGGCTGATGAAAGATGTTGCATTAAGGTCGGGGAGCCTGGGAATGTTGACGTGGATCTCTCGTCACTGGCACCTCTAGGCTGTGGCATCTTGACAGGTGCTGGTGGTATGTTTCTCTAGCTTCCTGTTTCCAAAAAAGAAGGAATACTAAAACAAAGGTGGTAGCAATGCTTAACGTTCTCAAACCATCCCCGGAGGACATCGTATGCATCATTGGAGCTGGTGCCGTAGGGTTGGCGGCCATCATGGCTCTTAACTTTCTTAAAACGAAGCCTAAACAAGTCATCGTCGTAGATATCGTTGAAGAGAGGCTAGAACTGGCCAAAAAATATGGAGCAACACACGCCATCAATTCAACGAAACATAAAGATCTACCAGGTGCGCTGAAGCGAGTAACGAACTTCGATGGGGTTGATGTTTCAATCGACACTACCGGTAGATCAGAAGTGCTTCAAGACTTACTGGAAGCAACCGCTAAATTGGGGACAGTATGCAGCGTGGGAGTAGGAAAGGTATGTTCAGCCTCCTGTAGTTATATCCCGGCTCAAACTCTTACTAAATGAACAGCTTGATGCCGATGTGTCGGTAAACGTGTTTAACGCAGTTAATACTGGACGAAAGTATGTAGGTTGCTGCATGGGAAATTCCTACCCACCCGATTTCATCCCGAAACTTATACAAGGCTGGAAAGAGGGAAACTTTCCTTTTACTGATTTAATCACGAGATACGATGCAGCAGATATGGAGAAGGCCAAAGCGGACATCTTGAGTGGAAAGGTTGTGAAAGCAGTTCTCACTTGGGGAGCCCCCGCGCTAACCTCAAACATCTGACGACCTACCAATTACATTTCAAGGGAATATAGATACGATAGATTATCAAATTAGTGGCAAACACATGCATTGATTAAGGTATGAAAGTATGAAATATAAGTTCAACATTGAAAAACCCGCTTCCGAAGCCAGTTGAGGTAATATCACTTCCGAGATCAGCGTATTGCAGAGTCCTTCTGCATACCAATCTTCTCCCTCGCGCCACGAATTAACCCCACATGCAGGGACAACAGGTCTATAATCAGCCTGTAATGCACTATCTTATCATCGTGTGACGTCAAAAGAAACTTCCTATCAGCTCATCTGTGTCCTTTACTTGAAGTCAAGTAAGACATTCAATACATGCAGCTTGCATCTTGCAGCTACATTCTTTTATCATGCCATATGTATTCCACTTCTTCCCTTAATCGTTTTCTTTTGTTCCTCAATTGTCAAGCTCACTTGATTCTTTACTTTTGAGACCACACAAACAAAATGGGTTCAATAACACCATCCTCCGAGACTAGCTCAGGCTCAAGCTCTATCTCAACATGCAGTTGCACCTCTCCCCATCCTCCATATCCCCTCCACTCAAGTATCCTTCCCAAACTCGACCCCACATACAAATCTTTCTATAATACCCATCTTATAAACAACCAAGTAGTACATCACCAACCTCTCCATATTTCTCGTTCCTCTTCCATTCTACTCCCTGGTGCTTCAGATCCGCTGTCTGTGGGATCTATTTTTGATTTGAAAATTCCTTCGAATGATTCACATGAGATAGGTATAGGAAATGGGAAGGAAGGGGACTTGACAAATGAAGAAAAAGGAGAGATTGATGTAAGAGTATTTATACCGGAAGGAGAGAAGCCAGACGGTGGATGGCCTCTTTGCATGTATTTTCATGGAGGAGGATGGGTGTTGGGAGGAATCGAAACAGAAAATACGGTTTGTACGCATTTGTGTCAGAGGGGTGACGTGGTGGTTGTTAGCGTTGATTATCGGTATGAAGATAGACTTTTTTTTATTCTACTGGGATGCCTGCAAGCTTCAGGCTACAGATGATCAAGTGATTATCACATGAGCCTACACCAAACAAACTAAATCTAGATTCCCTATAAAACCCTGCCTTAAAGCTCTAACAAACCTAGTCTCGCACCGGAAAACCCCTATCCCACCGCTCCAAACGACTGTCAAACAGCACTCCTCTCCATTCTCACCCACCCAGCCCACCATTCCCTCCCCATAAACCCCACTCTCATCGCGCTGTCCGGTTCCTCCGCCGGCGGAAACATCGCCGCAGTCCTCTCTCACCGTTTCTCCTCCCTATTCCCAAATTTCCGCATTTCCCTGCAATTACTCATCGTACCAGTAACCGACAACACCGCCTCTCCATCCACATATCCCTCCTGGAAAGAAAATGAATTTTCCCCCGCATTACCCGCGGAGAAAATGATGTGGTTTCGCAATTTTTATTTACCCGATCAGCAGAAATGGGGAGACGTGGATGCGAGTCCGTTGTTGAATGATGGGGCGTGGGAGGAGCAACCTAGGACTCTGGTTGTGGTGGGGGAATTGGATGTTTTGAGGGATGAGGGAATTGCGTATGCGGGGTTGGTGGGGAGCGCGGGGGTTAAGTGTAGATTGGAGGTTATGAGGGGGATGCCGCATCCTTTTTGTAAGTTTTCTTTTGGGGAAAGGGGTGGAAGTTTGGGAGGGTGAGTTTTGGATTGTGATTTTGCTGACGGGTGATTTACAGTGGCTATGGATGGGGTGTTGAAACAGGGGGCCCAGACGATTACTTATATGGTGGAGGAATTGAGAGATGTGTTTTGGAAGGGGAAATGATGTGATGGGGATAAGTGAGAGGAGTATACTGCATTTCACCTATCAGGAGAAAAACGTATAGATTATAGAGAACGTTTTAACATGTACGTGGCAAGAATTCAATAAGAGCAAAGAAATGCAATCCCAACCTAAAACATAAACCCAGAATCCCCCTCTTTGATCAAAATCATACAAAGCACCCCGAGCCCCAAATCCCCACGTGAACACACTAAACAACCCCCCAACCTGGCCTCCCCTTCTCCTCCACCTCCCCCTGCAAATTAACCTCCTTCCCCCTACTCCTATCCCTCCAATCCACATACCCAATCGCATCATCCGACTCCCTCCACTCTTCCCAACCCTGTTCGATTCTCCCCACCAACTGCGCCGTAGTAGGACGATCCACGCTACGAACCTTCAACATCGCGCTTACGATTTCTTTAAGTCCGCGCGTATATGTCTTATCGCTCAATCTCGACATGACGTAATAATAGTCCAATTGTTGGGCTGGAGGAATCCCGGTCATCATTGTGAAGACTGTGGCGCCTAGTGACCAGATTTCTGAGGGGGGTCCCCAGCTTTCGGTTCCGGCTAGTTGTTCCTTTATTTTTGGTTGTTATTGTTAGTATAGGATTGAATATAATAGATTTATTATTTAAAGAAACATGAAAGTAAAAAGTAAAAAATGTCAAAAACAAACCGGAGGTTGAAACCACCACTCCATTCCCTCCTTCCTCTCACTCTTCGCTACATTTCCCCCAGGAAACCCCGTAACGACCGCCTTTCCAAACCCACCTAACTTACACTCCCCATATGTTGCTCCCCCACCTGCCCTCTTAAACCATATCTGCTTTGGACTCACTTCCCGAATCAGTATCGGCTGCCAATCATCATCATGTTTCTGCCAATCATCTTTTGAATCCGTTTGTTTAACTCCAGTATGTAACCACAAGAGGGCTTTATTAATATTCGACAAGACATGCCAGCATAAGCTCTCAGGGAGAGAAAAGCGGTTCGGATTTGGAGTTGCGAGGGCGCGCCAGGCAGGGAGATCGTTGAATTTGGGGTAGTTTTCTGGGTTGGGGAGAATGAGGTCGAGAGAGCCTTGGTTCATGTCTTCGTAGACGGCTATGTTGGATGTTATGCCTGCGTGCTTGGTAGATCCCGCGAGGGAGTCTGTGTGGATTATGTCGACGAGACCGATGATATTTGGATGGTTGAGGATGCGGGAGATGGGGACTCCGGCTAGGGGGAGGATGGCCGAGGCGAGACTTGTTTTCCATTCTGGGTTTTTATGGGTTGAGACCTTTTCGTCGGGGATGGGAAAGCCGAGGAAGGATTCATTGTCTTTGATTCGGATCAATTGGATACTCTTGGTGTTGTTATCAACTTCCAGGGGGTTTCGGAGGACATATTTAGGTTGAATAGGCGTAGAATGAACGTTATTGGCTGCCATTATGTTGGTTGGCTTCTTCAAACTGTGATTGTTGAGGATAATTTGATGTTGGAGATTGCTTTTTAACTGATTTGATAAAGCTTCTACATGAACACAAAGGAACGTAGCGACCTACAAAATTTCTCGAATTTCACTGGTACGTTTTGAGCCACATCACTACACGATCAAAGGAAAACAAAGAGCACAAAGAAAAGACGTGTTCATTTGCGAACAATTGTTTCATTTCAATAAATTAAATTTGCGGCTTTAGTAGTTAAAGTCTTCGTAGCACAGTTGTTTCCCTTTAAGCCATTCCACCAAGGTGTTACGTAGATTAGTCCCTGTACATAGGTACCATCGATTTGTAGGATCCTCGGATACATCGCTCTTTTCAATCCTTCTCTCTCGTAGACTGGCCCCAGATTCCCGTAACTTTTTGGCACAAATTGATTCATTCATACCATCACAGCCTCCCATTTCACCTGTGATGAACAATTTTGTATGATTTGAGAGATTGGGATATTTTTCAAAGGTGTCCAGAACCAGTCCTAGGTCAGCTAAACGAACGGTCCAGTAAAGTTGCAATCGTAATAAATCCAACTCGGAAACCTGGGCAAGCAGTGGTGTAATTCCCACGCCGCCAGCAACAAAAGAAACTTTTCCTTCAGAGCCTTGGTCAATGAAAAATTCTCCTCCAAATCCATTGAGTGGTACTTCCAACTCTGACCCGATATTATGACGAAAGAGGAAATTTGTGACAACTCCAACCTTGCGGATTGTAATTTCGAATTCTTCATATGTATTTGTACGATCCTGGGAAGAAGAGACAGTAAAAGTTCGTATGTAATCGTCGTTCAAACTCTTTGGATCATCGTCACGCATGTGGCTATAGCCGATGTCAAGTTCATCCTTGAAGTCCAATGCGACATATTGGCCAGGTTTCCAACTAATGGTTTTATCTGCATCCAAAATCTTAAATCGAAATCTAGCCACAGATGGTGACAGGATTTTCCTCTCCAAAAGTTTTGCGTGCATTTTCTTGCCCATATCTTTGACTCCAGTAGCGGCCTCGGAAGCTAGAAAGCGTACGGGAGGATTGTACGGTGAGCGTTCACCTTCTTCACCTCGAAAACTTAATCCATCAGTAACATATCTAACATCTTCCACATAAATCTTGACTGCAAGATTGGTATGTGTTATCAGATTGGTCGCCTTTTCCCCAGCAAGTATTTCCGTTCTACCAGTTAGGTACACGACATCACCAGTATTGAAATCTGGGAATACTAATCCTGCTTGAGGTGTCGTTGTAAGGTTTCCTAGTGTCTGATAAAGACGGTTACCAGAATACTCAGGATAAACAATTATAAGCCCTTCACTATCGTTGGACAAGATTCGTACAAAACCTGGTGGTCCACCTCTATGATTTGTATCCATGTCCGAATCATGATTCGAGGATGAAATGAAGAACAGGTCGGATCGTGTTATTAAATCAGTCGCTTCTTTAGGGAGGGGTAATGTGGTAGAGACAAGTGTAGGTCTTGGTAGTCGAGGAATGATATGTTTTTTGTTAAGGTACTTGGGACAATTGCCTGCAGTTCCGTTAGTATGTAACAACAGCGTCCAAAAAACGAAAAGCTCACCCAAACTTTGCTCAATCTTAACAACCAACGACGCTTCCACCACTGAGTCTCCAGCAGTCTCTCTCAATGCACCCGCAGCCATCCTACCATATAACTTGACCCTCTTCCTAGATTCAAGGTCGATCGCAAGACCACCAATCATTCTCCCAGGCGGTTGTTCGTGTTTAACTTGTCCATTCGCATTCTTGCCCAGTAACACTTCAGAGACTGGGTCGTATTCAAGATCAATTGTAGCTTTCACAGCAATAACAGACTGCGCGACCGGCCAGGCGAAACCAGCTTCTCCGCCCCATAATGTAGTCCATGGTCTGCCGGATGAATCTAGTGTGCCGATGGCGAGTAACGGTGATCGCGTCAGAAGATTGGCAGCAAAGGGTGAGAGAAATGGTGAGGTTGGATTATCGCCTTGAGGTGCTCGCAGACGTTTGTGAATTTCTTCCTCTCCCGCATGCCATTCCGTTGCCATATGGAAAGCCATTGCGATTTATTTGGAAATAAATTTAGATATGGTGCCAAACCGGGTTTGGATCGACACAGTTGGGTATTTCAAGGCGGAATAGGACGAAGGGAAAACCGAATATTTGAGGGGAAGCAGGAGTAAGGCGTCATTTTTGGTAACATTCCACAAGTTTGTATGTAAGACCGACTGCCTAGTAGTTCTCGCTATACTGGAGTTGGTTTCTAAGGGTTCACAAACAAAGCTCACTGCGGGGTCAGCACGCACCCAAGTGGGTTGCAAGGTGATTAGTAATCGGGAGGGTTTTGGAAATGAATGCGCAAGTTGGGCACACAAGACAACTTAATATCTGCAACCCTTCCACTTGACTATTGAACCTGTATGGTCTGTCTAATGAATTCATCTTGCATTTCTCTGGCTTGCTTGGGCAGCCAGCCGAGTAGGAGAACAGAGAGGATGAAGTAAGGTCAGTGTAGCCGTGAAGGTTGGAGCTCTTGGGCAGGTTGAGGAATCATTCTCTGTTCAAACATCAAATCTGGATGTCAGCATCGGATATGTACCATCTTCACTCTTCAGTCTATACTTTCTCAAAACAGGGCTATTTGAATTTTGAGATCTAGTTTAATCCTATACATCGAATCTTGCCTTCGATCAAGTTCAATCCAAATCGAAGCATTGATATATGTTGCCCTATCCGCTCAACCTACACGCCTTAGATACCCAGCGAAAACCCTCAAAGAGCGAATTGATACCTTGACTCAAATCCATACTCTCCATTTCAAACTACACTTCCGTTCGCCCTAGCCTCTTTAATATGCTTTGCCCTCTCCTGCAGGTGCGCCATTCTATGCTCAATACCGTCCGCCTTAAAATGATGTACTAACCCTTGGTATGTCTTCTCCATATTTTTCTTCGCAATCTTAAACATCTGCTCCTCATATTCCGTAATAGCCTGTTTCAAACTACCCTCCATATCCATCGCAAAATTATCTCTCTGCTTCGACAGAGCATGCGCAAGTAACATCGCATCATTCATGGCAACATTAACGCCAACACCCGCGAAAGGAGTCATTAAATGAGCTGCATCTCCGAGAAGTGTGACACCTGGACGAGAAGGCCATTTGAAGCCGACAGGAAGCATGTACAATGGCCGCGCAAGAAGACTGTCTGATGCTTCAAATATAAGTCTCTTTAAGTCGTCATGAACATCTCCGAAGTACTGTTCTGCGAGCTGTTTGCGAGCCTCGATGGGATCCTCCCATTTAATACCAGAGTTCTGAATCCAGGATTCTGGTTTGCGTACCCCAGCGTAAACTCGAACGCCATCATAGCCGTTTCTCTGACAAATAAACATCCGGCCTTCATCGAACATGAATAAACTTCCTTTACCGACGTAATCAGACAGCCACCGCTTCCTCTCAGAAACATTGAGAGCTCTCATTTCAATCATACTAACACCAGAGTACTCCGGGAGCTGCGCTGAGACAAGAGGCCGAACCTTTGACCATGCGCCATCCGCCCCAACAACGAGGTCAAATCCTTCCGCAACATAGCCGGCAAAATGAAGATCGAATTGTGCAGGGTTGGTCTTGCTAGGCTCAACACGAATAAGTTTGCTGTTCCATTGAATCAAGTCCGGATCAACAGAATCCAAAAGGATGTCGCGCAGTCTCGCACGATCAATCTCAGGACGATCTCTAGCCTGACGGTTTAAGTCCTTTTCCTCATCCTTCTCATTCTCATCCCAGACTACAGTTCCATCCGCTTTCACCAACTTCATGGAATCTGCTTCAGGCAAGCAGTGTTTTCGGAATTCCTCGATGAGACCAGCTTCACGAAGAGCACGTTGACCCATATCGGCGTGGAGGTCGATCAATCCACCTTGAGAGCGAGCATTTCGATTGAGGTCAAGTTCAAATATTGTGCACTTGATCCCGCTGTGTTGAAGCAGCCGGGCTAAGGTCAAACCACTTGGGCCGGCACCTGCTATGGCAATTCTGGGTACTGACATGGTTTATTTTTGGGTTTTATTGACGACTGAAAGGGCTGTTTGATGGGTTGTTTGACTAAGCGTAGAAAAGAGTTTAGAAAGCTTGCGATAATGACAAAATTCTTGTTGCTTGTCCACAGAGGAGGATTGAGCCCCTTATATACCCGTACATTGCTCAAAGATGACAGCCATATATTTCGGACTCTATTGATAGCATCCAAGGAAAGGAGCGCAGCGCGAAACAAGCAGAGAACATCCTTGCCATCTCTGTTCGTGAATCGTGGGAATGAAAGCACACTTTCTGGCCCCAAAAGCCTTTCTTCTCAGGATGGCGACAAAAAAGGAGTGATTTTGCGCAACCATTTCGCGCGAAAGCTAAATCCTAAGTTCGACGCTTTATTCCGGGGATACTAAGGAGACTTCTGATTTGCCGTTGCGCAAGATGTGACTCCCTTGAGAAAAATGGGACTAGAAATACGCTAGTCACATTGGGCGCAATGCATCCTGTGCGCCACGACTACACAGCGGACTGTCCACGGATTTGGCATGAGCCTCCCTACTACAAGCTACAAGCTACAAGCTTTTTTTCCCTCAAAATTTGGAAATGATACACCCTCAATACAACCCTTGCGAATTGCTGAAGTAAAGTGGCTTGAGAAAACTCACCAAATAGCCACACAAACACACCATGGTAGGCGTACCAAACAGCAATCGGTGTGATAACTGCCGGAAGAGGAAGAAGAAGGTTAGTCTCTCCACCCGACAAAATGATGAGTAGCTTATGGATGGATTTACTAATGAAACGAGATATAAAGTGTGGAGAGCAACGTCCATCTTGCGCAGAATGCATCCATAGTGGGTGGACCTGTCCAGGGTATTCATCACGTTGGAAATTCATGGACGAGACAGCTAAAGTGGCTAAGCTGTATTCTCGGAAAAAATATATTGATGAATACGATACTAAGGACTCAGAAATGATCTCCTCCAAAGAGGAAATATTAAGTTCTACGGAATTTGGCTCAAGAGTGTTTGTTTTGGAAACCTTCAAGGACATCTCGCCAGGGATTTCCCGATTTCATGACTGTAATCCCCTGGCTACAACCTTGGTGTACTGCCTAGGATGTAAAATGAAAGGAGACCTAATTCCTCTCTGGCTACTTGGGTCTTTCTACCAACATGTACCCGGTCGATTGGGCCACAACATCGCGTTGGATGATGCAGTATCATGTGTTTGTAGCTTGTATTGCGACAGATCTTTGAGTGAACATACCAAATCGAATGTTATCTATAGGAAATATATTCGAGCCTTATCTTCACTGCAAAAATGCTTAGCCGATGAATATCTCCGTTTCCAGTCGGAAACATTATGTGCGTCACTTTTGTTGCAGATGTGCGAAGTGAGTCTCGTTTAATACCTTTGGATTAAGCCCCAAATACTAACGAAAAAACTAGCTCGCTGTGAATATTGATAAAGGCAGATGGGGTGATCTTGCTCGTGGGACTGCTAAGCTTATTCAAGCCCGGGGTGTTCATCGGCATACGGATCCGTTCGATCTTGGAATGCTTGAATCCCAGTTGAGTTACATTGTATGAACGCCATTGAAGTTCCTATTCAGGACTACGGGATACACCTCTGACATATGAGCTCATTATAGGTTATTCAATCCGCCAAGTCCGAAGAAGATTGCTATCTCCGCCAGCCAGAATGGCGTGCATTGCTTACCGATATAACGAAGTGGCCTCACGATACAATTACTGCAAAGGAACTCACATCCATGAAATTACGCCTCGAGCTGTGTATTCAGTTATTTGAACTGCCCACCATTCTTATCGAAGTTTCTTCGCTTCATAAGAGATCCGACAGGTTCCCATCCAACATTGATGCTACTTTGATGGATGGAGCACTTGCGATGTATTCCAACATGAAAGAGTGGCTAAACTCCAAAGTCGAGCCGCATATATATTCAAATCCATTGGAGAGGACTGCAACTGCAATTGAATATCCGGACATGATTGCGGGTATTGTTGACTGTGTAGCCAACACGACGCTTTTAACACTCGATAAAATTATTTGCTTGTTACACCGTGGAAGCATACCAGCATACAAAATTGACACGTTTGACAGCCCGGAAACGGTAGAGAGTTGGTATCGTCGTGCGCTGACAGCGTTTGAGTTTGTTCAAACCGAATCAACTTTCGCTGCTAAACCTTTAGGCGTTGGATTGCGACAATTTCAATCATCGAGTCCTAAGCCTCTTGCAGCTATAAAAGTGTAAAGCATGCGTAAAGAGAAACTCGGCGTATATGTGCGATACCACATGATATCATTCGGCGATGTGTAATAGCAGAATGGGTACGAATTCGAACACCAGAAAATATCGACTTTCCTTCTCCGGACCATGGAGCATTCCACACTGCATACATAGCCATAGTATAGTTTCGGAGGCCATAACAGCAAAGCGGAAACGATACAGCAAAATCATATCAACTATGCACGATGGATGGGCACTGCCATTTGGAAGGGGGAAAATGGGGTAGATCGTTATGCATCTCGCTGCAAATTGTCAAACAACGCAGAACTCGGTACACAGCATCATGATTCAGAACTCACTCTCGTTCCATCAGTCACTCAAAAATTCAATGGATGCAATAAGATGTTCGCATACACATGGCGGAGCAACAACTCGAACCCAAACGTCTCAATCCCACTAGGTGGGGCGCCCCTTCCTCCATCAACGATCCCTCATATCGGTGATAGGTGAGCATAAATAGGACCTAATTTCAATGCAATTTTCAACTGAAGCTTGATATATTGGCAGTCAAAGAACTATGTTCGCTGGGAAGGACTTTTACTTCCAAGGAGAGCTACTGGAGTAGAAGCAATGGAATGCAGCTGCGGACAAAGAATGGAACTGAACATCAAGCGGAAAGTTGAAACATAGAATAATACACATTCAGCTTTTCCGGCAATACTCCAAAAAAGTGTCTTAAAAAATAAATATACAAACATCCAACTAACACCAACCTCACACATCTGGCAAAAGCTCATGCGTCCCAAATTGAAAATAAACACCCAATCTCGAATCAAACGTAGGACATAAATTCGCACCTCCCAGAAAAAGTACCACGAGACGAAAATCCGGCGAATTCGCATCGCAATAATTATCCCTCAATAAATTCGTTGTTTCATCAAGAAGAGTATTTTTCCACAACACGATTCCCTGCGGCAAAACCCAGTTACAATAAAGATTTTTCGTTTGAATGATCACATTATTCGCATCTTTGTTTGATGATAGGGGTTGAGCGGGAGAATTGGCGATTTTGTTGGTATAAGTAGTGAGTGTTTTGATGTTGTTGGATAGAGAAAGAAAGAGAGAGAGAGAGAGAGAGAGAGAGAGAGAGAGATGTGGATAGAGATATTCTGGTTTCTCTGTCTGTATTATATTTTAATTCGTTCATTTGATCGAAATAGAGAGTGGTGTCTGTGAGGTTGGTGGTGGAGGACTTATTCCGCTGCTGATATATATGTTGGTATGTCCTGAGCGCTGGTGAGTATGTTTATATAAGTTTTGTAACTCTATGGGGGAGGGGGTTAATCACTAGTGTAAATTTTCATTACGGTAATAATGATGATAAAATGCTTACAGCGACGTTGGCTACCCATTTATTGGCAACTTTTGACAGGTGAGAAGTTGTTGATCGAATGGAAGAGCTTTGGGGAGTAAAGAACAGGTTATGTTCTCTAGACTTGATATTCCACTGCCGGATTGTAACTAACATGTGATTATGGATGTGAAGAGAAGAATAATTTTCCAGAGAAGATGTATTTATCGTGCTTTGCTTTTTCGGTGTATCGAGGACGGGAACGAATTGAGTTGTAGTGTGCCGTCGTTGAAAGATATCAATCAGAAATATGTAGATAATATTGGAGACCACACTTTCCGCACTTGTATATATGGGAACAAGAAAGAAAAAGAATAGTAAGAATAATGCTCCAAGAAACAACTAGCTGGGAGGACATTGATAGGTTTATGAAATACCAGAAGAGATTTCAAGGTATCTTATAATAACCCAATAATTCGCAAAATCAAATATTCAAGAAACCCAGCAGATGCGAATCTCAAAATACACAGGGGCGTAGACGATTTGCAAACACAGTATTTTGGAAAGTTACGTGAGATACTGGAATAAGACCAACAAACAAAGTGCTTGAAATGCACCGAATAAGATATACTCCCAAAAACTATCCGGATTGATTGAGATTTCCACAGCGTGCAGTAACTCAAGCATGGCTCATACACGTGTTAAGGCAACAGTGAGAATATTTGCCATTGTTTGGTACCCTTAAATAGAAGAGACATCTTATCTTGACTTGCGACGAATTTAGATGAGCGAGTAGCCATATTGGAATACAAATCGGGCTCGCCTCTGTTCTCTGTCCATGTCGACAGCTCGATATACTAATCTTATACAACGCAGAAAGAGTCCAAATAACGTGGATATCAAATGAGACTGGCCGAAGCTAGAAGCCAGAATCTAGAATATTGAAATAAGTAAAATTTTATATGGAAGTTTTTAATTTTAGAGAGTAATTGCGAGTATGTATACATACCATACCAACGTCCATTACTTAATGAAATTGCCAATTTTGGATATTGCTCGATGTGTTCTCTGCGCAAGTTCTTTCTGGAGAAAAAAATAAAAAATAAAAAATACCAAGAGCGACAATAGTACTAATAGCAGAGATATTCTAAGCTATATTGGAAAACCTGAGGATATATCTATGCTTATGCTTCACATTATCTTTGTGAATGAATCTGTAAACTACACGCATGCGCATATAATAACCAAGAAAATAAAACTCGCTCGAGGACCGATGGCTCGTTTCAACTCTCTTCTCAACCTTACAGCTCTCACTATCATTATATATCTCGATACTGCCCGGAATAGAGGCAGGACGATTAGCATCCATTGAGGGATGAGACTGAAATCTTTATATCTCATGATTGCAAGATTTCATACTGCGTCCATACTTCTCTACTTATAAAATTCCACCGTTCTCTGAAGCGTGATTGATCTTGACAGAGAATATCGTTATTGTATGGTGATGTTGACCTTAGGTTGCCTTGTGAACCACTCCAAGTTTCTGAGTTGGCCTATCACATGATTCAACTTTACCATCTTTCTCTCAAAACTGCGCCTGATTGATCTTGACTCCGCATCATTCTTTCATCCGTACTTTTCCATCCATTCTTCTTTCCATCTCCCTTCCCGTTCCTGCATGGAGTCATGATAATAGATCTACGGGTTAGGCAATTGCACAATATCAAATACGCGGCGAGATCTAATAACCTTAAGTGTCAAGAGATTTAAAACCAACGAGTTTTACCGTCACACTTTTCACAACATCACATCAAGATCTTCGATCCTCAAAACCATTCATTCATTCATATAGATCATTTATTTCATTCCACTGCATTAAATACATCTCTCCCGCCCACTATTCTCTGATGCCATCCATATGAACATATGCATCAACGTTAACGCCAGGAAACTCCTCATTACCATCCATGTATGCATCCATCATGTATTCATAATCCAAATGATCATCCAGAGATGAAATCGCTCTGCACAATCTAATTCCTCCCAAATCCGATCTACTATGTTCCACGAATACATACATCAGATGTTTCCAACTACTTAAATCAAAGCAGCCAAACCACCGATAATACCTGCGAAACCAAGTGCAACTGGGATATGAGCTTGTTTACCTGCTGCACCAGTTGCTACTACAGGAGCAGAAGTTCCAGTAGCCGAAGCAGAACTGCTTCCGCTGGATCTGGTGGCAGTTACTGTAGATGCCTTGCTTGTAAAGGTGGTGGATAAAGCAGTTGTAGTAGCAGTCGTGCTTCCAGAAAGAACGGTAGCAGTACCGGTTGATGTGGCAGCTGACCCAGAGGCAGATGAAGTACCATCACTTGAACTGCTTTGTGGACCGACGGTTCCACCTTCAACAGTATTTGGAGCAACGCTAGAAGCGACTTTGGCGGCAGCAGCTTGGTATTTGTCGAGAGTTTGATTGGGGTCAGGATTATTGCCAACTACGATTTCCATTGACATGCCCTTTTGACATTCATCGGCAACGGAGCTGTAAAGCCATAAAGTACCGTTGACGTGAGTATCCATGATGAAAGTTGGAGTCTAAGAAACGAAACATAGGTTAGCATGAATTGGATTTGTTAACGGGAATAAAATAACATAAATCTTACCTCAGCATTGCTTGAAGGATCAGGGCCAGAGACAACACCAGAGAAAATAGGTGCATGATCAGAGGGAACACAAGGACTATCGTAGGTACTTTGTGCAACACTATGTTTACCAAAGAATTGGAATTTAACACTACATCCCGAGTCAATATTAGTAACTTTAACCTAGATGATAATGTTCTTAAGAATATGAGGAAAACATACGTATCGCCAACTTGAACAGTCAAGGCATTTGGAACGAAAATAAGTCCGCTACCACCAACAACTACACTATACTGAGCAGCGGCTGCAGTGGAAACGAATGCGAAGAGGGAGATGATTGATTGATGCATTTTTGTGCTTGGGTGAGTTTGTCTTGAAATTTGATGAGGAATGGATTTGATTTTGATCTTGGGTTCTGTATCGAGGTGATTGATTAACAGTGCATGAGGATAGAGACAATTGAAGAAGATGTTAGGGTAAAGTTGTAAAGTAGAAGTCACAAAAAGAGTTGTTGATGTATTGTAATAAATATCAAACTCCAAACCTCGAGAACCCAACGAACTTTATATACGTCCCGATGTTACCAACCACTCTGGACCCCTAAGGTTACTCTACCAACTCAGCCTTACAAACTGTTTATTTCCATGATCATTTTTCCCTCATTCACTCGTAACCAACCGGGTGATTTGCGTTACTTTGCCGCAGGTAAGCCTGCTGTGGTGTGGGTGTATTTTCTTTCCTTTCTTTTTGAGTATGCAGATATGCAGATATGCAGGTATTCAGGTACCGTGTTGTTTCTGCGCCACGAAGCATATGTATGTAGGTAATTTAATTACTAGGTACATATGGACTACCAGGATAATCATTCGATGTTTTAATAACTCCGCCTTCATTTTGCGCAGTATATTGGTTGTTTGTTTATTCCGTACCTACCTAGCAATACATTCATTAACTAATAACATGACACCAACCTCAGCCTGCAAATATATTTATATTTATATTTATATCTCTTTCTATATTTATTTTGTATCTTATTGATCAAAGCAAAAGGCGCATGTATGTATATATACCTGCATTATACAGAGTACAGCCACCTGCTTCAATACTGCTTCAATACTGCTTCAATACTGCTTCAATACTGCTTCAATACTGCATCAATATTGCGATTCACCTCCACACCTCTAGACCTCGTGCACCAGGTGTATAGACGCATGTCAGATACCTACCTACCTACCTACTAGGTCCTAATATCATAAACTCACAGCTCACTCACCACCCCGATACCACTCCATCATAAACCAATACCTCCTAATTAACCACCCCCGTGTTTCTTCTTTCCCTAGGTAAGATACCTACAATTACAAATGACACCGCATACCTACACCATCATACTCCATAAGGTAACAACACACACCAATACATACACCCAACACCAACACCCACACCCACACCAACAAAAACACAAAGCTACAAAAAAACCTAACCTAATCTAACCTACCACCAACAAAAAATGTAAGACGAGGTTGGGCTTACCTCACCCATCCATCCATCCATAAGCAAGCCGACTGGAAAGGATAAAGGATTGGCGGGGAAGCGTAATCTTACCTGCAGGTATTGTAGGTAGGTAGCTAGCTGTGCCGCTATGCTATCACGTGGCTTAGGTTAACCTATGTCTGTCTTTGATGTGATCATGGATGTGATGTAACCTACTATATAGGTGCTGGATATGTTAGGTACCTACCTAAGGTTAGATGATCCCTCTGATCTCTCTGATATCATGAGAATTTTCGTATGTTAACCTTACCTACCTACCTATATGAACTATAATACCTAAGGTTCCCTAACCTACCTAGTAAATACCTATACAGACGAATTGAAATAGGTAAATAAATAAATAACTAAATAAATAACTAAATAACTAAATAAATAACTAAATAACTAAATCAATAAATCAATAAATAAAATGATCATGAGCACCGTAAGAACTTTGTTATTCATACATAGGTTAATTTTAGAGGACGGACACATGATAAGGTACATCGTGTTAACCATGTATGTACCTAGGTAGGTAAGGTGATGTATTTATGTATTTATTTAACTCCATTTCGTGATATCAATCTATATGTTCACCCATTCACTTATTATCTCATTATCTCAGCCCATTTCAGTTCATTTCATTTCATTTCATACTCATTTATTCATATTCATATTCATACAACATTTTAATGAAAAATTAATGTATGCAGGTACCGTACTGTACCATCCATACCCAATCCGCCCGATACATCCATCCATCAAGCACAAAATGATATTATATCGCCCAAAGGCCCTACTTGAGTACCAAATGCGTGTACAAATTGCACTACCTATCTACCTAGGTATCCTATGATAAATGCTCGACAGAAGGCTGCGCACAAGGTTGCACTAGTTCTCGATTGCGAAACGTGGTTCGGAAATCTAGTTGTCGTACAAACCATGAGTTGCGTAACGTCCATTCCTGATCTGGTTTTTCGAGTGCGACCTATCCATGAGATATATGTTAGTTATTTCATTCATCTATTTTCACACCACTCTTTTCTGCAAAGTGCGAGAGACAGAATAGAAACGGGAATAAAATAAGAAGAAAAAAAACATACCTCAAACCTCCTCAAAAAACTCGGAACCAACTTGTATATCTCCAAAAGACTAATATTCCTCCCAATACACGATCTTGCTCCCATCCCAAACATCAACATCGTCCCATCCATCTCCTTAATTCTCCTTCCTTCCGCCTCTCTATCCTTCTCCTCATCCACCAACCATCTTTCCGGTCTAAAAACTTCCACATCCTCTCCAAAAATCTCCCTCCTATGATGAATAACCCAAGCATTACACCCCACAATCGTTCCCCCCTTAATCCACTCCCCCGCAATCTCCAATCCCTGTTGGGGCACCACTCTTTCAAGCGGTAACCCGGCTGCGGGATGTAAACGAAAAGCTTCCTTAATACAAGCATCCAAATACGGTAATCCTTGACTTTCCGTCCAACTGACCAATCCCGTTTTATCATCTGCAAAATATCCTTCCATAGCTTTTCCATCAATTTCGCGCATTAATTTTTGCATACAGCCTTCATTTTTCAATAAATAATAAAACACTGCACTGAGAGAAATAGCCGTAGTTTCAGAGCCTGCAAACGCCATTGAGACAGCCATTGTCATGACGAGATCATCCGTCATAAATTCCGGTCTATCGTGTTTTGCCTGGATGAATTTAGACAATAAATCTGGTTGAGAAATATTTGTTTTGACCTCCGCGTCGATGGTGGGTAAGATTCCATTTCCATCTGTTTTGGGATATCGTTCTTGTACACGCTGCGCTGCAAATTTGGCAACCGGGAATGTTACGTCTATGAGGCCGTATTTGGCGCCTAGCAAGTATAAAGGATTCTTGAGAAATATTCGATCGAGGATGGGAATTTGCCCAATTGGTGCAACATAGTCGAAGAGATTTGCTAGGTAGGATATTATACCATCAACGTCTCGGTTTTCCTCGAGAAATCCATGGCGTTTTGAGTATGTCATTTCACCAATTACGTCAAAGGCGTAAAATTGTAACCATCTTGCAAAGTCGCATGATGAATGACCACTCAGCGAAGTATAGAGGTCAGCGGTGCGAGAGAGGAAGATCTCGGTGGTACGAGTGACCAGTGGTTCGTATTGAACAACAGATGACATGCTGAATGCAGAGTTGACTGAACGTCGAAGTTGTGCATGGAAAGGCTCAGACAAGGTGCTAAAGAGTGATGGGAGTGGGTGGCCATTTTTCACAGATTGTTGAACGGGGTAGAATGCAGACTATAGTATATCAGCATACCTTCTGGCTTCTAAGCGGGTAAATATGAGATACCTTGACGAAGCCTTTGTTTAAACCATAGATAGTTTTCAATGCTTTTGGATCTGCAAATGAGAGAGTATTGGGACCAAGGCGGACAACATCACCATGTTCGGCATGTAACCTCTGATGGGTCACTTCTGCTCTACGCTTGTATACATCATAGAATCTCCACCAATCCGTGATAGAAGCAAGAGTTGGTCCTGGATATTTATTTAGGCCTCGATTGAATCGATTGGTAGCAAGGTAGATGGCAAATCCAACAATTAATATTGAAGGCCAATGCTCAATAGCAAACGTGATAAGAGTATCTGTGATCATTTTGCCGGTGGAAGGTACTGGCACGTAGAAGGACCTCGACGTCTGATAGATTTATACTTATAATCGATCAATCATAATATGATGAGTGGTCTTCGACAAGGGTGTATTCGATGCCTGGTAGAAAGCTAATTCTGTGGAGTACTTCAATGCTATCGCAGATTTAGGTTCAATGTCGGAGATCGTGAAAGAGAGACAAGTCGAGAAATGTAGGGCTGTCCCTTGCAGATCCAGTAGGGATTTCGCCAATAAATATGGTAAAATGCACGATAAAACAGAAACAATAAAGTATTTGCTTGGCTTTGGATCAAGTTATGGGTGAGGAGATCTATGTATATGTATGAGATCAGAGATGCAGTGATGATAAATGACACTGCACATGCAAATACCATGACATATTGCCGAACATTGATAGCATTTTCAGTTCTCCGCTACTCAAGTGACACTGCATCTTTGACTCGCCAATGAAAGTATCACCAAAGTCAGACTAGTAAACACTAAATGCTTCAGGCATGAGAAACGTCACTTTCAAATCGATTCTCGGACATCATTCTTGGCTTCAATCGAAGAAACTAGACGAACAGAAAGCTTGCTGTCGCGCCAATGTCCGGATCATTCCTTAGAGCCCGCTGTCAGCTTACTCAATTGGTTCGTACCCAACGGTCTCGGCAAGTACAGACGGGAATGAATTCTTCGAAGTACTGAAGAACGGAAATAATCATATCTTTCAACCCATGATTTAGTCCCGCGGCCGTTAGGACGAACGGATCGTATACGCGAAAGTCAAGAAAGCATCATTCGTACACGTATGTGTGGCATAAGCAGATTGCCTCCATCATAAACAAGCGTGTAAAATCGTAGGAAAGCTGCAAATTCATTTGAAAGGTTGAACTCAAATATTGAGTACAGACTTGCCGAGAATGCAAATTGTATGTACGGAGTACACGGACACGGGCAATAAATGTTGGTGATGATGCAAAGACTATGCATGAATGGAGTGAGGGAGTAAAGATTGAGGTGGGGAGCTAAATTCTGTGGGGAAGATTTAGTAAGTCTGTCACGGGATGTCTTGAATCGAAGTAAGAAATCGGTAGTTGGAAGAGACGTAATTGCCGAAATGTCCACCCCGATTATGAGGGTAATTTGCTGTGGATTTTTGGCTTTGGTTTTGGCCTAAGCCTCGGCCTTCGATATAGTTTTCTCTTGTTTCGCATTCGGTTTTTTGCATTGGTGCAAATCCTTCCAAAGCATACTAGTCGTGAATTGAGCGATAGATCATACACGGCAGTTGGGAATTGTTGAATTTGTGGATCATAATCAACGCATTTCGTGATATCTCTAAGTCGACATTATAGCATAGTAGGTAGCGGGGCACAGCAACAGGTATGGCAATTGACTCGGAATAAATGCGAATGAGATTCAAGTTGTGAGGAAAATACCGGTCAATCTCTTGCAAGAGAAAATGAGAAGCATTTTGAAGGCAAGCTTCACAAGTGGGAAACCTCCGAAGCCTAGACATCGGGATATCGTGGCAAAATGGTTGTGACCATATACACATGCTAACTTTTGTATGTGGGATTTGGCTTTGGACAATCGTCCGCCAAGTGATTCTCAGCGTTTAATGCGTAATGAATTTGAGTGACCAGTGGGCGAAAAAGCTCAATGCCTGGTTTCAAATTCACAGACAATACAGAAAATGATAGCATAACCTTACCCGAAAAATCTGCCGGTCGATAAGAAGTTGCATCTTTCACACGCAGAGATAGTTGACACGGAGTAGTTGAAACTATCGTGGAAAAGGCCCCCGCGTTCCAACTTCCAACGTCCCCCGTAACCCGCAGCTTTCTGGAATAGACACTTGTCTGAACCTAAACTCAAATCTCTTGTCGAATGGCAACTTTAAATTGCAGACCCATGCTCGATGTTTAAGGTTCACCGACTACTACTAAGGTACGGAAACATCGTTGACCTTGGAGGTGAAACATTTGCCGTAGTACATAGTGGTGGCTGTCTGAACGACATTTTTCAAGTTCCGCGTATTTCCAATTTTCTTTGTTTGTATATCCAGTTCATCATCTATCTACCAACGTTCGTTTTTGGCCCCTCTATGAGATGGGACGACTTGACGTGTTGGCCGTTCCGACAATTCCAGCTTGAGATACGTGCAAACTCCAGCTTGAGTTTCTAGCAGGTTATTAAGAGAGGTCATGGAAGTCTCGAGTGTCGCAGTATATTTCAAGAATCGTACTAAAAAGGTATTCGAATTCTACCATCGTGAGTGTGTGGGAGTAGCACCGTTTGCTTGATGGCCAGAGTTTCGGAGTTCCAAAAGACAAATTCTCCTTGTTACGATATTCAGATTGAAAATCGCTTCGTTCTACCAAAATAGCATTTGTGTGGCTGGAATTTCGTAACGTATTGATAGTATTTGTCTAGGTATTCGAAATAAATGCTTTGACATTTCTCTCACTGAATCTCAAGGCCAACTAAAATACGAAATGCGGTGGATATTTCCTGCTTAGTCACCAAACGGATGCTGGGTACTGGGTGTCAAATTTTCCAGATCCCTCACAACTTGTCGAATGTGACCCAATACAAATGGATATGAACACTGTCAGGAACGTACTCACATCTTCCCCAAAGTCATGATAATTCGCTCTTCGAATGCATCGGACCATGGTGTAAGACGATTTCAATGGATTATCTGCCATAGGTGATCATCATGGACATTAATTACTTGCTCAAGATGCACTTGGATCTTGAAACTCTACGCATGCGATACTTTTTCTCTCGTTCGGTGGGAAGCGTCAGATCATCAAGGACCTATTAAGAGCTTCTAAGAGCCTGCTAACGTTTGTGTATTAACCTGAGCGTTTAAGCCTTATCGACAACGCACCATAGATCCAGCTAAGTTCAGCTGCCACGAATGTCATCAGTTAGTTTTTAATTGTCATACATTATCATAAGGATCGCCTTTCTCTTATTGCTCGGGCGTATATAGCAATGGCTATAACTCCACCTCAACAGAAGTGCCGGTGACTTTGAGAAAAAGAGAGTGGTGGCGGTTTGGCTTGTCACGTCCCAATCTTATGGCACACTTGAGCAGAATGGAGGCTATCAGAGCGATTTTCCGAATAGACTTTACGGACCGATTCAATTTGTTTTTGCGTTCCTTCCCATCAGCCTGAATGCATGCAAGGTGCAAATGCCTCGGGTCAGATGATACAAATACAAACGAAATATCTCTCGCATGGATTCGAGGGTTTAGTCTGAAATTCCTCGTTTCTCCTCGCTCGTCACTTTTAGCTTGGTCTCGGATGTTTGGCTCACAGTGGACATGTCGATTTTGCGAACGGTTTGAGTTCAAACCGCAGACGAATTGCCTTGTTGGGATAACCCTGCGTGTTGAGCCGTGTAGCAAGTCGGCCAGCATGATCCTCGAGCTTCATTTGAGGGGCATCCTTGTGAATATAGACCCGGCCAACGATGACTCTAAGTATAACTGGACTGTAACGTAGTTTGTGTTTCCAGCTAAACCCTGACATCAAGATCTTTTGTCGAAATATAGTCAGATCTTACATGGTTATTTAAACCACTCCAGATTCTATCTAAGGGCGCCACAAGTAGGCAAAATCTTAACGAGCAATCTCTACCTGCACAAATTTAGCGTTCTGATTTTAAAGTTGAACTTAATTGTTGCAGACCGAAGGAAGACATGCCTTCGTTTCAATAATCATGATAACGGCTTAGAATAACTCGATCGATGGCCGTATCTGGGGGTGATTCTCACAAATCTAGGTGTTTATGCCCTCTTCCTCCATCATCTGTCTTGACAGAAGGACTTACCTTTCTAGTTAGCACTGGTGATCTAGATGTCGGTTGTCTACTCGGAGGTTGGTGCTCCATTCTACGTCTGGTAGGAACTAACTACTACATTGTGGCTTTCTGTCCAAGAGGTACGGGTCATAGTATTCCAGTTGTCAATTATCCATCTTCCAGTTTATCCAAAGTTCGTCCACAGAATTTTGGGCTTTCGGGACCAGAAATAAATTCTTATTGGGATGCAGAGTTTCAAACGGCATTGGTATTCGGAGCGGAATGTAATCCACAAATAGGAGGTCCCTATGAGGCGGTCCCATATTTATACAGCGGTTATTGCAAAAGGGTATACTTGGTTTGTTGAAACTTTTTCCAATCATGGATACACAGCTCGTCACCTATGAACTCGTTGACACAAATTTGACTATCGCCGCGATCGAAACTGCGAGTAATATTGGTTCCAAAAACGGTAAACATTACAGGCACTGTTCCCGAACTAACTCAATGGTTATTTGGTGTTTTTGGCGGAAAAATCCGTCAGTTCAAAAACAGATACATGAAGAACTTATATCACATATCGACATAATTGAAGACAAAAGTTTCTTGGGTGAAGTGGTATAACTTACGACACTAGTATTTTGTGCTGGATGACCTATTACTGCAACTTTGAAGATTAACGTCAGGTTTATAAATTATCATTGATATATTTGTAGGCTGTGCATTCGATCTAAGTATGTGGTCGCTGGTAAGTAGAAATACCAGAAAACTTTACCTGCTATGACTAATTATAATAGATCCTTTTGGTGGTGATACTAGGAATCTTATATTGTTTGCTAGCAACCCTCTAGATGAAGCAAAACCTATCAAGAAGTAATTCGAGTCTTCTGCTATTCCTCCTATTCCTCCTGTGCAATACGAACTCATATCCTCGTACATCAGTCAAAAATCTTGCGCAACAATTCAAAAATGCACAGCTTCTCAGTAGTGAAGCAATAGACGTAAGTACTTTCACTTCTTCTGCACGCATGTCTGGCTCTTTTCGGTTTGTGCAACGTCCTATTGATAGCGGCAAACAATTGTCGTGCGACTGATAAGATATATTGATTTTTTTAAACCCGCAAGCTTCCCGCCATGATCCAAGATGTATTGTAGAAGCTGGACCTTTTGGGATTATCTTGAGAGCCCTGTTATTGTTGTTGGAGAGGATTCTCATTAGAATGAAGGTTACTTTGCAATACTATTATGGATTCTTATTCATTATCCAATTGATCTACATACCTTGTCAAGAAAATCTCATCCAAGTGAATGATAAAGTCACAAAAAGTATTCTCATCTAATTTTTTCTTCTTTCGGATGAGATGGTTCACGCTTTGTTTATTCACTTATCTCCGTCTATATAAATAAATGAAGCATATAAACTCTCGCATGAAACGTTCCACGCAGCTATTTGGTATGAGAAATGTAGTGATTTACTTGCTCAGATTCGGGAGGGGGTTATTTTTACTTTTGTGAGTTTGGGTTTGGGTTATTTTCTGGTTTTGTGAGATCTTATGAGTATTTATGTATATGGAGTGTTGGGTTATTGTTCTTTTTATCTTTATTTCAGATTTACATGGTGTTTCTTTGGATTTTATTTCTTTACCCGGCTCTATCTTAACTTTCCATCTCCTCTTT